CCAGCATGGTTGCGAAAAGGCAATACTGGTGCAATAAGGAGTGCGATAATTGCACACCTGTTCAGCACTGATCATTGCATTTCAACGAACGCCTCCTTCAAAGTAATCTACCGAGTCAAGAACAACATGTCAAAGGCAATACGGTTTCGTCTCCTTTGTATCGCTGAAGCCCTAGCCATTCGCATGGAAAAACCGGAGCTGTGCATACAAAAGAAGATTACTCAACCTCTTCTACTCTCATGGTAACAATGTTTTGATTTTTGAGTTTTTATTTTTATTTTGATAACTTAATTTTGTTTCTTTGCCTGTTCCTTAGTTGCTTATAATTCTTGTGTCCAATTAGATCTCTTACATAGTTTCGTATTATCTACTTTGTTTCTATGTGCATCCTGAGTAAAACTCACTCATCAAAATATTCATATTATTATTGCATAACTTCTTTTAACAACTGTTTGTGACAACTCATCACCTTTGTTACTATCCTAGCACTTAATTGTCTTGACTTATATTACCAACCTTTACCTGTTTAGTTAAAATAACCTTAAGCAATTGTAATTCTTGTATCCACTTAGATCTCTTACACAATTTCTACTTTGTTTCTATGTGCATCCTGAGTAAAACTCACTATTATTATTACAACTGTTTGTGACAACTCATCACCTTTGTTACTACCCTAGTTTCACTAACACTTAATTTTCTTGACCTGTATTACCAACCTTCACTTGTTTAGTTAAAATTAACCTTAACCAATTGTAAATTTGTTTGACAAACTTAATGTACACATACATACAAAACAATGCATATATATTTGCGATTGTACAGCTAAGAAGATGAATTCGCCGAAAAGAGACTCTTCGCTGATCTACGTGTTTTGTTTACATTCAAAGGTGACATCATTGCTGAAGTTATTAAAAGTCATCTATCCAATTACATTAAACAAACCCCTTTGTATGCGTCTAACTCACCCCTGGTATTCCCTGACAGAAATATGATTCTACAGTGCGTGAAGGATAAACTAGCATTTGTATCCACCTACCTTTTTCACATACTCCTGTATAGCTGATTCCATTGGACATTGTGAGTATTCTTCTCTGTGGTTGATGAAAGCAGAACACAGAATAATTCTGTCTTTCATCTGTGAACAGCTTTTCGAGTCAGGTCATTTAGCCCCAAGGAATTTATCCATTAAGTCTATCTAAGGGGGGTTAAATTCAGCCACACTAGAAGTTTACGTTTTCTCAACTTGTGCATAGCTCTAGCACATTTCACTGCAAATTCGCCTTCTGTATTGTTATCACCAACACACTTTTAATATTTTTGACAACATCTGATCTGTTTTAAAAATCTCAATACCCACTAGCTTTATTTAATTCAATTAGGACTTTTCCGCTGATTGACAGGATGGAAGGACTCGGCTTCTGTTGACATGTCGGCTCATTATGCGGGTGCTTCGACAATGTCTGAGGATTTAACCCGAATTAATTTGGTGGATGGTGACTAGCAATGAAATACATGATGCGTATTTCGTCATATCTGGGACTCGTCATCTGGATGTACTTGCAATCCCCAGTGAAAGGTGGTGTTGCCACTGCGACTCGAAACCAGTACTCACAGTTTCAAAAGCCAAAGCGTCATCTACTAGACTACTAGGGCTACCTCTTGTGCAATGTGTATCAATTATTATTTAATTGAATTCGGATTTTCTCATTGACTGATTGGACCGAAGTGTTCAGCGTCTGTTGTCATGTCGGCTCCTCGTGTGGATGTCTCGACAATGTCTGAGGATTTCGTCCTTACGGGAACACCATCACTCACTGGGGGATGTAGGTGAATCTCGTGACGAGTCTCAATTAGGACGAAATTCGGATCCTGGGTTCTACTGATAGTCACCGTCTACCAAATTAACAGTTCACTTATTTAATAGTCTTTCGTAATTCATCCACTTTATTTTCACCTCTTACAAGCCATGTTAATTATTGATATAAGAAATAGAACTTGAGCACTGTCATAGAGGAAATTTCTGCTATGGATAAAATTTTATTTTGATAAAGTCACAGTAATATTTACTGATGACGTTTCGAACACAATTTATTGCTGCTCGTAATCATATCAAGTTACTCACACAACTTAGTTTAATATGGTTCCACTATTTCTCATCTCTTGATTTGAGTGGTAATAATATTTTCCATATTTCTCGTATGAGTCATTCCTATTCCACGTGCTGGGTGTAGATTTTATAAACAAAGATTCAACCTCCTGGAGTTCTAGTGAGAAGTCGTGACCAGTGAGGTGCATCCAGTCGGGGGTGAGGATGGATTTCCTGCCGATGATATTGGTTGGTGGTCGCGCTAAATCACGAACTGGTAGGAATTAGAATTCATGGTATGGCCATTGAATCGGGTCCCAGTGGCTTAATGGTATACGAGCTTCCATTGAAACCAAAAGGTGCCGGGTTCGAACCCCACCCTGTGGGTGCGTACTGCTGATGATTAACGAACTAGGATGAAACAGCTGGCTGTCCAGTACTCCCTGGTTTTCAATGGTTCACCAACTGACATCAATCTGTGGTCAAACTCGAGAAACAAATCAACCTCTGAAAGATTTAGTAATCAACCTCTCTCTCTCCACCTATCTATATTACTTCTTAGAATTTTAACCCTCTCCCACTACCCTATTGTAGGGTTGTGTGTTAATCCATGCAGTGCGATCGCTGAGTTTTTTTCTAAATTATTTATCTTCGTGGGGTCAACCATTCTTACCTTAGCTAAATTCTTATGTTCTGATAATCTCACTACTCGTTCGAAATATGTAGTTGACCTAACTCACGGTCATTGCAAGGTATTTTGTAAATTAGATTATTTTGTCTAATTGGGTCCTTTAACCTAAAGAACTTGTCCTACCTGAGTTACTTTGTAGTTTTGAATGCAACCCTAATTCCTGCTTTACTAAGAATCCTACATAGGGTCTTATATGTCTTCCCCTTATATGGTAAAACTGTAGATACTTTATATTCTTTGTTATTTATGTTATCATTACTAGTTTCACAATTACTTTTCTTTTGACCTTTTCTGATCTTCCTAATGAATTTTATAGGATAGTTATTTAACACCAACGCTTCTTCTTCTATCTGTTTCATTTCATCATTTAGGTTTTTTGTATAACTTAGTGCTATAGCTCGGTTTGTTAGACACTTAACTAAGACTGCCTTTACAGACAAAGGATGAGATGGATTAAATGTCTAAATATCTATTGGAATGCGTTGGTTTTTTATAAACGCTAGTGTGTAGTTTACCTTCTTCTATTCGTTTTATTTTACAATCTAACACAGCTAATTCTCCTTGTTCATTTCCTGATTCAAATGTGAATTTTACTCCCTTTCACTATTGAGTAAATCTTAATTATCTTCATTCGTATCAGATGTGTATATTGATATAATTATGAACTATAAACCGTGTTCGAAACGTCATCCAGTAAATAATACTGTTTCATCACTGTGTGATATATCTCATAAAAAAATTAATGAGATAAAAACGACCGATTAAAAAAAGCTATATTGTCCCTATTCATGAATAAATGGGTATATTGCATCAGTAGAAGCATGTCGGCAGTCAAACTTCTACCTCAACCTTATCGAATTCGAAAAGACATCCGACAGACAGAGTTGACCAAGAAGTAAATTGGAAGCTACTTCAACACTATGGCATGCAGCGCCAAAATCTTTATCAAACTCAATTAGCAGCTATGTGACAATGCCACAACGGAAAAATCAGCAAGGCGTTCGAAGTGAATACAGGAGTAAGATAGGGCTGGTTGCCTATTTTCACCGATGATATTCTTAATTTAGGTGGACTTGATTATGCATCAGACTGTGGGGTGAAAGGAGACAGGGATACGCTGGGCCACTGATAAGAAGGCACTAGAAGATTTGAATTCCGCGTGTGGATGATATATGTTTATTGTCACACAAACTCGACGACTCGCTGGCGAAAACCAACAAACTGGCTGAAGAGGCTGACAGACAGTGAAGACAGGTGATGAAGATAACCAACGAACAGCAACAACCAGTACCAATCACCATCATCGGAAGCACTTTGAAAGAGGTTACTTCCTTCACTTATCTATATAGCATCATTTCAACCACAGGCGGAACAGATGTAGGTGTAAAAGAGCGAATCGTAAAGGCAAGAGAGACCTTCATCAAGTTGTATTCAGTTTGGAAATCTTCTGCACTTACTTAGCATAAAGAACAAGATTCGGATTTTCAACAAAAATGTGGGCGAGAAACTTGGTCAGCGCATTTCCAACAGGCCACTGCAGACTTTCATCAACTGTTGCCTCCATATTGAAGATGAAATGGTCAACCAGGAAAATTAGCAACAAGAAACTTTCGGAACAAACCAACCAAGAACCTATTCGTCAACAAATATGTAGAAGAAAATGGAGATGAATTGGGCATACGCTGAGAGGAGACAGTCGAATGACATCGTGCGCCAGGCCATCGATCGAGTGGAACCTGAATGGGAAACGACGATTCAGGCATCCGTGGGTGACATTGTAGAAGACCATAGAATATGGGCTATGGTGGAACCAGCTAAAGAGGACCACAGAAAGCAGAACAAAGTGGATATGTGTTGTTGAAGCCTTTAAGTCCATTCAGGACCTAAGGTAGCACAGCGGTTAGGACTCTCGCCGACCATAAGCATGGTCCGGGGTTCGATCCCCGGCCGACGAACACCTGATATCTATGGTCGGCCTACAAATTTGGGCTACCGATACCATATGCTGAAAATTCCATACTTGTAGCAAAAATACTGTGTGGTTTCAAGCTATAATCAAAAATAATAATAATGATATCGGCTGCTTCGCAAAAGATAATTCGATATCAGTGGTATTCACCGTCAATCGATTTCGGCAATACATTTAGTTTTCCCCTTTTAATTATATAACATTTTAGTAAACTTAGTCCAAGACGTTATTGAGTGCATTAATTACAGCGCTCACAGCAACCCTTCTCCACTCCCTTACCAGAAATTCAAAGCGAAAAAGATAAAATGACCGAATCACATTGTAGAAAATCAATTTCTTTACAAAAACATGAGGAGAAATACAGACACACATTCATAACATTGTTAAACAATCTCAATAAATGTTTTCTCTGAAATAGAATATCATAAATTTTACATATAAATATGAAACATAACTGGGTGCCAGTACTTAACAAGTATTGGAAAGAAGATGCGACGAGACAGGGAGAGAGAAAGAGATAGAAGGCCACAACAAGAGTATGTCTATGGGTGATTCTTGAAGGAATATGATAATTTCTTTTGTAGTGTGTGTGTGGGGGGGACAGTAAAATTAAGCAGAAATTAATTAGGAAAAGGACAACAACGGTGAACACGGCTAAATCTTCACCTCTCATTCATGCATTCATTGATCTATCCATCAGAAATTCGGTGATAACAAGGCGTCATTCAAATAATCGTCTTTTGAATAGAAACGACGGAAAGGCAATAATATTCTTTAATATGTATACATATAAATTGAAGATATGAAAGAAGATGGAAAATACATTTTTCTTATATTGGTTACTATTATTTTTATTATTATTAAATTTTTTTCAAAAACTTGTTTTCTGTTCACTTGTTCGTTAGTTAACAACTGTACCCGAACACTTGCCAGCAAACACACCCATAGAACAACTACACCACACAATGTGTGTGTATGCGTGTGTGTTTGTGTTACACGAGCACACATACACACACATGCACGCACACTCACAATACTAATTTCGTTGGATTTTCTTTTGAACACAATTTATGCCTGTCGCTTGTTAAGGTTGGTTGGTTGGTTATATCCCACTTTTGAAATCAGAAGATCCGTCATGATGAATAAATAATCTTATCGTTTGAAATGATATGCTCAATTGGCACATCGTTTTTGACTGTAAGACAAGCAAATAAATAAATAAATAAACAGAATTATTAGACTTCAATCACACACAGTTAACAATGAGATATTATGTATTATTATTTTCCTTCACAAAACTATATACTACTGACTGATTGAGATGAGTAGTCGGATATCACTTATTTCAGTCAGTAGTACTTGCTAACCAACCATATCGAAGTGATCCAAACACTGGATGATCGTTTCACTCCTTCGCGGCAGAACTCATTAGTGGATGTATTCGGTTTGATTCAACTCAGACAGCTAAATCAGTTCAAAGCATCCGATTTCTGGCTAGCTAATTAGGAGAACTGGTTCCAAGTGTTGCTTTGCAAGGATTTCATTGATTCCAACTTAGACCACACGAACTAACTTCAGTTGGAACCATAGGAAACCAAGTATTACTAGACAGCCGTTTCGTCTTAGTTTGGATATCTTCAGTGGCATGCACTCATTACCCAACAGGTAGGAATAGAAGTTAGGACATTCAGGTTTCCAGATGAAGAATTCACTGCTGAAGAGTTCCCAACTAAGATGAAACAGTTGTCCAGTAACACCTGATTTTCACATTAATATTCGCTTAATGAAGTTAGCTCATGATCTCCCTGAAAAATGGAAAAAATATTAGTCTTGAAGGAGGTTGCTACAATGGAACTACCACCAACAGCAATGTAGTATAAAGTCAGACAATTCCAAATTCACAGGATATCTATCATTTTGCAACCCATCTGTTGAATATATATGGACTAACGACAAATATGAGTCAGTATAAATTAGTCCGATTTATTATAATTACTGAAACACTTCATGCATTATGGGTACCAAGAGATGGACCACACAAAATCTCATTGTTTGTGTGAAGGTTGGAGTACTGTTCGGATGCCTAGACCGAAACAGATGGTTGTTTTAACGAGCTACCTCCGAGCGTCTAACTTGAAGCCTGATCCGTAAGGCAGTAGCAGAGAGTGAGGAGCTACATATTCATGGTTTTCGATGGTCTAAACAGTGTTCATACGCCATTCGATCCTATCGGGTTCTGCAGGCCGTATAAACCACAGGGTTTGGAATTAGGGTTTACCCACTCTCCCCTAAGCAGATGTGAATGTCCATCAGTCTGCCTAATGGGTGCCACACGTTCACACTCACTGTTTCACTTTTGTGAGGAACACCTCGGCTGCGTAAAGGTGGTGAATAGGACCTACCTGGTACAGACGATATATGCGTGGCAACATGACAGCATTTCAAGAGCGAGATTGAAGTCTACCCAGCATCAGCCATATCGGGTCGTTTATGGGGGCAGTCAACAGGGTTCAGTATTATTATTGTTTCCTTTAATTCCTAGAGGAACATAGGGCTTCAGCCGTGCCTCTCCATTGCGTTCGGTTCTCTGCTAGAGTCTTCACATGGCTCCAAGTCTGCCCACACGTTTTCATCTCCTCTTCACATGACCTCCTCAAAGTCACCCACCCCCGCACTGACGACCAACTCGCCGCTTCCCTTTCGGGTTCCAATCGAGATATGGCCTGTCGTGTGATGTCACTTGATGGTTTCCACAGAGTATGGCCAATCCATCTCCATTTCTTCCTCCCTATTTGTTGTACAATCGGTTCCTGGTTGGTTCGCTCATCGCCAGAGATCTCTGTTGCTGATCTATTCTGGCCGGCCATCTGATCTTGAGTATTGAGCGAAGACAACTGTTAATGAAGGTCTGTAGTTTGTTTGAGATGCTCTTTATGACGCATCAAGTCTCTGATCCGTATAGTGAGTAGCACTGACTGACTTCACATTGGAGTTGAAAATCCGGATCTTATTTTTGATGCTGAGTGCTGTTGACCTCCACACAGACTTGAGAGTAGTGAAAGCTTGTCTTGCTTTTCCGATTCTTGCTTTGATATCCTCGTCAGTTCCGCTGGCCTGTAGTTGAAACGATGCTTCCCAGGTCGGTTGGTGAAGGAGGTTGTTTCTTTCAGGTTCCTTCCATTTATGCTGATCGCTATCTGTTGTTGTTGCTGTTGGTGGTGTTGCCCAGGAATCTTCATCACCTCTGTCTTCTCTATGTTCACCTGAAGTCCTATCTTCTCCGGGTGCTTCTTCTGCCAACTTGTTGCTGTTCGCTTGCATATCTTCCAGTTTGTGGGAAATCAGACATATATCATCGGCGAAGTCCAGATCCTCCAAGTTTTTTGTGTGAGTCCATTTTATGCCTGTTTCCTCCTTGCCCACTGTTTGTCGCATTATCCAATCTACTGCAATCAGGAAAATCATTGGCGATAGTAGGCAGCCAGCTTGCCTTACTCCTGTCCTCACTTCGAAGGATTCCGTGAGTTTCCCGTTGTGGATTACTTGGCATGCAGCATTGTCGTACAGCTGTTGGATGAGATGTATAATTGTCGGTGGCACTCCGTAGTAGCGAAGTAGTTTCCAAATCACCTCTCGATCGACGCTGTCAAAGGCCTTTTCAAAGTCGATGAAGTTGAGATGGAGAGGTGACTGCCATTCCAAGCTTTGTTCAATGATGATCCGTAATGTGGCGATCTGGTCAATGCATGACTTGTTTCTCCTGAATCCAGCCTGTTCCGGTCGAAGTTTTGATTCTCTCCAGGATGATGCGGCTTAGTATTTTGCTTGGGATGGACAGGAGCATAATTCCGCGCCAGTTCTTGCATTGATTTAGGTCTCCTTTTTTGGTAGTTTGAATAAGTATCCTTTTTTCCAATCCTCGGGTACTTTGCCTTCTTTCCACACCTTCTCCAGGGTGTGGAAAAAAATAAAATCTAAATGAATTACATCCTAATAAAAGTGATCCCTTCCTTGATTTATTACTTTTCTTCTCAGCTTTTCCAGACTAATGATACTAAGAATATATCTTCAACATTTTACACAAACTCCGAGTTTGTTTACATAATTGGAGCGTCTAAGTTTTTCCACCAAGCATCATGTATCAAATCGACTCTGTTGCATTTAACAACTTTATTTACGCCTTTGGACAGTAATCTGTAGTGGTGATGTATCCCTGTGCTTTCCCAGTGGGACATAGGACTTGAAGCTTTGAAGTTTCGGTAGCGGTGGTGATTTCTTTTACTGCGGGGGTGGGGGATCGCTAATCTCATACCCAACCTTCCCTCATTTTCTCTGGATTACTACCAGCTGGGCGACGTTTAGGAGTACGTCGGCGGGGAATCAAACCCTCAGCATATGCGTAGCTGGAGAGCATTCATTCTACCACACTGTAGTAGTCACTTGCATTTATAAATTAGCTTTCAATATACTGCTAAGCTTGTTTGTTTGTATTTTGAAGGGACAATATCGTGAAGGGGGGTTGGCGTATGCTTGAGGTGGAACACAGTGAATCAAATAATTACAGTATTAATTAATGCATATATTTTAATTAACGGATCTATACATAGAGTAAATACTCTGCAGTAAGACGCAGTGAGAGCTCTATACTGTAATTAAACTACTGTCCAGAAGTTATTATAATAATTAATATTATTTATTAATTAGTTAATTAGAAAAAGTTCACCTAATCAAAAGGGTTCATTAGATATACTCAACATTAAAATATATTTCACATATTTGAGGAGATGCGTTAAGATATTTTCCTGATTTTGTACACTTTATTTCTTGTATTTCACATACCAAAAATTCTTAGTTTAGCCGTATTCCGTTATTTTCAGCAAAGCTCTAGTTACATTTAACATGTACTGATAGACAGTTATTTCGTCGTTGTTGGCACTCTCACCACTCAGCAAGGCATATCTGCAGTCTTTGAAGAACTAATGTCCCCCCTTCCCTGAGATTCAAGTACACGTCACCCAATGCTACAGTTAAAGACGCTACCACTGAGTTCTTCGAGACCCACGATTGACCTCCTTTGTAGGACTCTAACGCATACTTCAACTGGACACAAGGTAGAGTAACTAATGTCGAGCATCCAGTCCGAATTCTATCAGTCAAATCTGCAATGTGACCACCACCATGCTAGGTGGCTTGCCATCACGGCGTCCAAGGCTTTCTGTCGATTACACCTCCAACCATCTGATAACAACAATTCTGAGGGCACTGATAGAATTCAGTCTACTGCCAAATCGAAAACTAGACACGCAAGACATTAGTTACTATCTGGTGTCCAATCAAAGTAGACAGTTACTCAATATCAGAATAATGTCTAGCTGCACAATTCGTTGTTTGAATAATTAACATAAGTCTTCCTTTCAACATCATGTTATCGGACTTCCACCTAAACAGTAGCATTACGTACTAACACAGGTCATAGCATTAAAATCGTCTTTACACAGACTGATTACCACTGAAAGATAAACGTCATTCGGCAATGCCTCCATAATATCAATAATCTTTCCACTATAGATAAGATTTTATTTTGATAAATCACCCAGTGTTATACAGTAATATTAACTGATGACGTTTTGAGCACAAACTATTTCTCATAATCATATCATATGATTATTATTTATTTATTATTATTTATTTATTTATTATTTATTATTATCATATGAAAGTTAATATTACAGTATAATACTGTGTGATTTATCAAAATAAAATCTTATCTATGATGGAGTTATACTCTACGACAGCGCCCAAGTTTTATACTTATATCTATAATCTTTGCTTAAATTTTTTTAATATTCCTTTACGTTTCCAGTGGAACATAGGGCTCCAAGCTAGAGGCTTGAAGTTTCGGTAGCAGCGGTATTTATTTTTACGGGATGGGGTTGCTAGCCTCATGCCCAACCTTCCTTCTTTACCAGTCTTATTACTGGGTTAGCGAGGTAAAGGAGTGCGTCGGCCGGGGATCGAACCTCGGACCATATGCATGGTCGACGAGCAAATGATATCCTTGAAATGGTATTCAGTGAATAATATGCTGAATCGACTTGTTCGAGTGTGTGTATCAGTTAATATGAACATAAAAATCTAAATTACCTCGGTGTTCCAAAAACTGCGTCAGCGTCTGGTGCACCTTTTGGATGATTATACTTCACCCAATAGTCTCGGTTAACATTTATGGGGAATTGATGAGCCAAAACAGCATCTGGATCACCAAATTGACCTAAAATAAAACGAAATAATTAATACGATAAGATTAGAATAATATGATGTTGCTTTGATAATAACAATATATTTAAAACCATACCACAAATATAAGGTCTAATATATATTTAAAAAAATGAAATTTAGCTGCCTAGTTAGTGTTTCCGTAGCGATTGGATTGGTTTTCCGGAGTAGGATTGTAACCCCACACCCAACCTTCCCTCTTTCTCCCTGATGAGAACCGGCTAATAAACTAGTGAACTAGACAGAAGAAGCAGCGAGGACAGGATTTCATGTGAACACAGAGGTAGATAGAGGTGATGAAGTACCAGTCATCAAGGGGAGGGATCTGAAGCAAATCATTTCTTTCACTCACCTGATACCTAGAAAATGTCATTTCGACTACAGGTGGTACAAACGAGGTTGTCAAATGAAGGATGAGATCTTTATTAACTCTGGAATTAGTGTACTTAGAATTAGGAACAACATATAAGGATTTTCAACGTTAATGTCAAGTAAGTTCTTCTATATGGGTTCAGAGCATTGGTGCATCACATAAATGCATTTCCAACAGGCTATTATGGGGAGACTTTCATAAAGAGCTGCGTTCGCCCTATCCCGAAGATCGTATGACCGAACAAAAAGGATTGGCAATAGGCAACTCTGAGAGCAAACGAACCGAAAACCTGTTGCCCAACAAGTATGAGTAGTAAATGGAGATATAGAGTGGACACATGCTGGGGGAAATCACGCATCACGCTGTCGAGTGAAAGCCGACTAGGAAAGGATGAGTTTGGCATGCAGACGGATCCGCAAAACTGAAATATGAATTTTGATACCTACGTGTCATTCAATAACTCTTAACTATGCGAAAAGGTAAAGAGGGAAAGATAGGAGAAACTTTCTGTGTTTAATGCCACCAATAATGTCGCAACAACAACAACAGCAGCAGCAACATCCAGCGCCAATCACCATCAACAGGAGGGATTTGAAAGAGGTTACTTCATTCACCTATCTAGGGAGCATTGTCTCAACTACAGGAGGAACGGACGAGGATGTCAAATCGAGAATCGGAAAGGCGAGAAACACATTCATCAACCTGAAACCAATCTGGAAATCTTCGTCACTCCTCAGCATCAACAACAAAATTCGGATTTTCAATACAAACGTCAAGTCAGTTTTGCTATACGGGTCAGAAACTTGGCGGGTCACAAAGAATATTTCCAACAGCCTGTTGCAGATCTTTGTCAGCAACTGTCTTCGCTCTATACTGAAGATCAGATGGCCGGAAAGAATCACTAACAAGAAACTATGGGAAGAAACAAAACAAGAACCAATCGCCCAACAAATATGCAGGAGAAAGTGGAGATGGATTGGACACTCGCTGAGGAGGCCGCTGGGTAACATCGCGCATCAGGCCAACGCTCGAGTGGAACCCGAAAAGGAAGCGGCGAGTGGGACGTCCGAGGGTGACATGGAGGAGATCTTGTGAAGAAGAGTTGAAACAATATGGATTAACATGGATGTAGGTGAAAAGTACAGCAGAAGACAGAAGCGAGTGGAGACGTGCAGTTGAGGCCCTATGTTCCACTAGGAACCCAAGGGAACAATAATAATAATAATGTCGCAACACAACAACCGAAAATACGTTTACATACAAGAATAAGGGTCATAACCATCATAAGCAAGCTAATGGTATTTGTAGTCATCATCCATAATTCGCAAGTGAGAAAAGTATCAGCAAACTATTTACTTAAGTTAATTTCTCATTCCCCATTGACTGAATATATCGGAACGAAATGTTCGGTCTCTGCTGACATGTCGGCTCTAAGCACGGACACTTCAATGATATCTAGAGAAGACTAACTAGCATGATGCCATCTGGTGGATGGTGACTGACTAGCAGTCAGATCCAGAATGCACATTTCGTCCCATTTGAGACTTGTCATCTAGATGTAACTGGCATCCCCCTACTAAGAAATGGTGTTCTCGCAGGGACTCGAACCCAGCACCTCGTCTTCCCAAACGCTAAAGTGGAGACATTTACAAATACACTTCTCCCTTCTCTAACTTACCCCATTCCATTTCTTCTTCTTTTTGAGCTTCATGCATTTCAAGAACCAGTTGTTTCATTCTTGCCTTTTCTTCTCTTTCAGCCGCAGCAGTCTGTATATAACGTGCTGCAAATTGTACTGAATCAGGCACAGCCAATGGTACTAGATGAGGTTTATTTCCACGACGTGATATCAGTGTAAATGGTACAATATTCTTAAGAAAAATGATAAAACATAATACCATATTATTTAATAAACTACTATTTGATAATCATATATAACTCAAAATATGCATTATAACATACATAAGCGCAAAAATGTATTAATACTTAACGGAAATCTACCATCAATATTTTCACTTCAGTACTAATTGCGCCTACATGATTAGAGAGCGTACATATACATGCAGCGAATAAAAATTTTAAAAATTGATCTGAATGAAGAATATCCTTTTCGATGAATTCTCTTCAGGTTTGTTATCGTTACAATGGTAGCCAGTTATGCGGCAGATACCTATTTTAAGTAGGATAACAAACTGGTTAAAGGTTGGGCACACGTGCTGGTCTGAATGTAATTACAAGGTACTGTGACATGTGAGATCCTGAGGATGGTGATTAGTCAGAGTGTGGCGTGTGCTACTGATAAGATTCATCAGTAGTACATATATACAAAGAGATGTTCATCAGCATAAAAACGTAACATAGCAGGGAGATAGATTTGATGTCAGAGAAAGCAAATGATCGAGCTTTACGGAGATACATGGGAGATGTCGAAGGAACACAAAGAAACACAATATGAAGGAAGGCCAGAAATAGCACAACAACACGGAATATCTGTGCAAATGGTGTACATAATTTGGCTATACAGAGATACCTAAATGCAAATAAACATTCCTTACCAAATGTTTCGCCTTCTACCGTTACAGTAGTAGATTCATACAATATGGGGAGAGTTGTAAAAGTTGTTGGGTGAGTGGATGGTACAAAATATTATGCATTGAAGAGAAGATAGTAAGACTGAGGTGAATAGTTCATCAAGAAATAATCAATATGTAAAATGAAACAGGTGGAGTCATATATTAAAAAAAGAGGTAATATGACTAATAATAAAACAGAATGATATAAATGTTAAATTCAATAATATTGAAAGAATGCAAGTAAGGAGAGTATAAATTAGGAACAGCCAATAGACCGCATACTTATCAACAGCTGCTATCGCTCGATGCTAAAGATCAACTGGTCAGAAAGAAATAGCAACAAGGAACTCTGGGAATGAACCGATCAAGAAACTACTGCTCAACAGATATCCCGAAGAAAACGGAATTGGACGGGACAGTTTTTGGTAGAAATCATCTTTTAATTCACCCGAACCGCAGTCGGTTGGAGCGCAAGCGGAGACTACGAAAAGACAACGACGGGTAACGCCGTCTTTCCTTCTGCTAACGTACCCGTTCAGACAGACTACACACATATGATTATCTACTGGGATCCAGTCAAGCATGGATTTTTCTGCCCTAACACTCAATGCTATCCCTACACCCGCGAGGCCCCGCGAACTAGCTGAGGAGTCTTCTGACACCCTTAAAGTGAATTTTACAGATTCACCTTGTTGTTTGGGTGGGGTTAAGTGAATAACCACACTCAGGTCGTGAACGTGTATCTCCGAAACACAACATACATGCATGGCTTGAGATGCTAGAGTTCTGGCTAGTGATTAGGCACAGGGTCCTGATGTCAAATGCTCGGGAGTACTTTTTCTGGCTCTCGTCGTTATTTATGGTCACAAAATGGAATGAAGATAAATTGACCAGGCTGGAAATACTAGTCCCCCTCTGATACAGTTTTGTTTAGGATATTATTTCTGTAACATACACACATTACTAAGGCTATCGAAACAATTTTATAAAAATACCATAAATATTAATTACAAAGAGCAGTTAGTTTCATTAAAACACTTAGGTGTAAACTAATCAGAACAAAAGTACTGAAAAGTTTAAGCAGAACAGTGACCAACTACTGACCTGATCATCTTCACAATTTTCTTCCGTGGATGTAACTGGATTACTTGATTTGATATTACCGTCATTAGATTTTGTCTGCATAGATTGAAGAATAGAGATGTTATGCACGCTTAGCTGTTGACCAGATTTCTGTGTCGCTACATTCCCTTGTGTATTAGTCGATAAACGACTTTTTGCTGCTGCCAGCTGAAGTACATCTGGAGTAGGCAGAGCATTCATCATAGCTGTAGAGCGAGATGACCCAGTATTCGTGTCAGCATTCATATTGACACTACTATTCACATTTGCTGACGTGTTAATACTTGCAGGTGTAGACGAGGATAATAATGCCTCGGCCATAAGTTTATCTAAAGCTTCACAGAATTCAGTATCTTCAGGACAATCAATATATTTAGGCTTAACAGTGTCATTTTGATACTGTTCATCGATATCTTTTTCTTCTGTTTTCTCCTTAAATGAAATCAAAAATCAAATATACATATGCATAGATTATTACAGCCGAAAGATTCAAACAGTAAAAAAAGAGGATTCCGTGGGTAAAGAATTGCACACAGGCGATATCTGACCATATAAAGATAAAATAAGTAGCATGATCTCTCCAACCGCCCGCCCCCCCCCCAACCAAGGAGCTGTGATATTATACCAACGGATACTAACGCCAAGTATCATTTATCCGATAGCATCATGTCATGGTTGACCCCACCCCACTTTTTTTCGAAAAGTCCCAGGTTTAATAAACGGAGTGGAAGCCGCTGTCCTAATGCAGGATTAATTGGAAACATTTATTTCCCGATACGAATTTAAAACAAGCAATAAAGGTTAATAAAGCAGGATTTAATGAATTCATCAAATTTCGGTAGAACTCGTCAGCTGAATACTCTACATACACGGATTTATATACTTTTAAAATTACATTGGGAGATATAGGACTGATAAGTAAATAAACTACATTGAATTAGTCATGCAGAAAGACAGGTGCGAATGTTTTTCCAGGTCACATGCAATTAGATAAGGGGAGAGAGAGTATGGGAGATCAAAATTAAGATAAATTGCATTACGCTTCAATAACATCACTTAGATAAACAATTAGTCATTAGGGAACAAAACAAGAATTGCAAACGGAGTAATATCAATAGTAATAGTTATAATAACAATAATAATAATAGTGTTGAAGTGGGTTAAGATAATGCTACTGATAAAGGATAGTTTTAAATGAATCAAGAATAATAATAATGAGAATAATAATAGTAATAATAAAATAATAATAATAAGAGGTAGAGTTATAAGTAAAACATATTACCATGGTAGATTCAGAGTCACGACCATCTCCTTTTGTACACAGAAACCTGGTTTGTAAACTCGAATTGCACAAGCCTCTGCAATTGCAAGCATCTTCTTGTTTCTTTGTCTGCTGACAATGGTGAATGACTTGACTGCGTCGATATCATGCCCGTAATCCACAAGATGTTTTGTTATTGAGGATTTTGGCACTTTGAACTCAGCTGTTTTCAACCATTTTGGCAAATGCTCCATCTTGCGAGTAGACAACCTCCTTTCCATACGACCTATGTATTTGCTTCCACAAACACACTCAAATTGATATACGCAGTTTGAAGTGTCGAGGATTGGCGACTGGTCTTCCCCAGATTGTTGAAGCACTCGCTTAGTGGTGTTAAGGAAAACAAGTTTTGCAGCATAATAAGTTCTCTTGATGGCTTTGTCGAGTCTTCGTTTGACTACTTCCTGTACATCATCTCCTTTGAACGGCAAGTTGATATAGACAGGTTTCTTCGGAACTGTTTGGATTGTTTTGCAGCGGGTGTTTTCTTTAGAGTATTTATTAATGAACTTCTCAGGATATCCATTCTTAGATAAGATATCCTTCAGGGATTTTATTTCATACTCAACAGTACTGTCAGAACAAATTGCGTAATGCAATTTATCTTAATTTTGATCTCCCATACTCTCTCTCCCCTTATCTAATTGCACGTGACCTGGAAAAACATTCGCACCTGTCTTTCTGCATGACTAATTCAATGTAGTTTATTTACTTATCAGTCCTATATCTCCCAATGTAATTTCAAAACTATATATATCCGTGTATGTAAAGTATTCAGTCCTATATCTCCCAATGTAACTTCAAAAGTATGTATCCGTGTATGTAGAGTATTCAGCTGACGAGTTCTACCGAAATTTGATGAATTCATTAAATCCTGCTTTATTAACCTTTATTGCAGGATTAATTACTGATGGATAATTTTTACTATTTCCACAGAAACGCCATCAGTCTACAGGAATACTTTCACAGAGAAACGATAAGAGATATGACGAATTCTAAGTAAAAAGATATGATAAAACACGCAGATTCATCGGACATCCTCAGCTCGAAGGAGTCAGATTTTACAGGTGTACAGCAGGAGTGCAAGCATTGAAGTGTGGTGCGTATCACCTTTAACGACAGAACTAATATCATGACGGCACCACAAGTGACCCAGTTTGTCGTATGTCATCAAATACCTAGATACACAAATATTTTTGTTACTTCTAAGGGTTGAACCTGGGGGATAGAGAAGGGGTACTGAATACTACCAAACTTAAAACAGAACTTAGCAGACGGATGATGCAAAACACATATTACCTTACAGACACTAATCACCAATTGGATAAATGAAATTTATTTAGTCTGTATACTCAAAGGTCAAAAGGCTTTTCCCCATGTGGCAGATATTCCAGCAGAACTATCTTCAGAATATTATCAACGGCACAGTTGGACAGAAATTTACTCAGGTACCCAACTACAGCCTCACCATCATTTCAAAAAGAGCATGGGACAAGCTGTCTAGGGTAGACATCAAGCTTCGTTAAGTGAAGTGGTGTTAATCGAACGCGCAACGCAGTGATTAATAATACTGAACATTGGCGCTGTGGGCCAACTACACAATTCAGTGTTCCATCTACTTCACAGACCGCAGATTTTGACACCATACCTACCACTCGTACAAGCTGGAATACCTCTCAAGTATTGCCAGAAGCATTCAATGCTTTCGTGTTAGGTGCACATGTTTACGAATAAAATATGACTTCACACACACACATACACACTCATTTGAACATATAATTTAGGATTAGCCAATAGCGTATGACAATAAAAGTAAATAGAAATAAAACTTTGGAATTGATTCTTTCTTTAATAATTCCATGTATAAACTAGAATATTGAGCTCACTGATGTGTCAAAGAGTCTTCTATCCTATTACCTCCTTCACATCTATTATTAAATTTTACCTCAACGAATTCTATAGGTTTCATCTGTCTTTTAAACACTGACAATATAGTAGTCTTTTTTTGACAAATGCAAACCAAAGCTGTTATATTATTGTCAAACATTTGTATTGATTTTCAAGAGGTGATTTGTAAGGATTAGATTTGTTTTTCGAGTATGACAACGGATTCATACTAGTTAGAGAACTATTGAAAACCTCCAAGGAGTAAATAGCAATCCAGTACTCCCTGATGGTTTTCAATAGTTCTCTAAGTGATTACTATTAATGACAAACCCACAACGAAATTATTGTTGCCATAATCATAAAGATGACTTAACAGCTGTGCGGTTCAATCGTCTTTCGTTTTCTCCAATAATAAGAGAACTACTGTTTCATCCTAGTTTAGGAATCATCGGCAGTACGTACCCACTGGGATTCGAACCCAGGACCTTCCGGTTACAAGGCAAGCTCGTATACCATTCATCCACTGGGACCCGACTGGTATACGAGCTTGCCTTGTAACCGGAAGGTCCTGGGTTCGAATCTCAGTGGGTGTGTACTGCCGATGATTCCCAAACTAGGATGAAACAGCAGCTGTCCAGTACTCCCTGGTTTTCAATGATTCTCTAACTGATATCAGTCCGTGATCAACTCGTAAAACATAACAAACCCTTACAAACCAACCTATAGAATAATCTGATGCTCGCTAGTGACTTGCTACAGGATGGAGTTTCCTGGAGTTCTATTGAGAAGTCGTGACCAGTGAGGTCCAATAAGAGAACTGTTTAGACACTTAAGTTCAGCATTTAACCTCAACTCAACAAAACTATGATAAGTAAGAAACATTCAACAGGGTATCCACAAAAATACAGAATATCTTCATTATACAATGAGGTATCACAGACAGTTGAACTTACTATGCCATTCATCAATATCGGCTCGGTGTCATCCCCTTGACTGTGTCCACTATCATTACGACCACGAAGACGATTACTACCACCATCTACGTCTATAAGATCAGCAGCAGGTTGCCGATGACGTTGATTTCGACTATTTTCTTCATTCCCAGCTTCTTCGTCAGCTTCATCATCGTCATCCTCGTCAAAATCATCATCCATTGCATACTCATCTTCATCTAGTTGTATGTCACCTGTACAAATAATAGAAATACACATACACTGTATTCTTGTTTTCAGAATAAGTGAACTATTTATATGATTGATGTTAGCTACTAACTGGTTTAGACATGGGTGAATGTGGTTATTATTACTACTATTATGATTAAGACACAGACATGAAACATTATGGGCATCAACAGGTGTGTCACACAAAACGTTTGCGCGAGAGCTTGAAAAACTGCCCGGGCGTCTAGACTGACTAACTGACTAATGTAGGACTTTGCACACATGTGCAATAGTTCAAGTTATTCAGCAAAAGAGACTAAAGACAGATTAAAAACAGCAGTTTGCGGAAAAAGAATAGTAATATGGAAGAATGATACAGTTTTATTGCATACAATAAATCACAAAGAGTGAATGCATCGGCGCCAGCAACTGACAACGATTTTCAGCCACATCACCCATTGTCTGCAGTCACCCTTCCTTTTTACCATCCCGAGGACCCCAACCAGCCAGGAGCATACACATCCCTAAGTGTTTGGCTAGCTTCATTGACTGATGAAGCCATGTTTTGGTTCGACCACCACCGCTAACTCTTTTACAACCTGATCCATCATATGTCAGTCAGATAACACTGCCTATTGTCGAGGAAGGTGTTCGATGATTAGACTTGCATGCGTAACACATATCCTAACTATCTCAATCGATGCACCTGCTTCACAACCTCGTCGACTGATTTCCCTTCCCGTCTACCTAGCACTCGACCGATGCCTAACCCAATATTGCTCACCTTATTATACCACCTAACACGGAAGATAGAACGCAGACACCTATGATCAAAGACAGCTGGTCTTTTCATGTCTTCCACTCCCAATGGCCATGTCTCACTCACAGCTATAAACGAGGACGGACCGGACTGCTGAGCAATACACACGCCCTTCGGTCGATAGCCGGCTGGATATCCCGTCTATGCCACAGACGGCGTAAACTGGCATATACGAAACGAGCCTTCTATATCCGTGATGAGATCTCGTCAGCAGCAGTCAAACGGCCGCCGTTGGCTGAGGCAACTCCCCAAATAAGTGAAGTCGTCAATACGCTCAGCCACCACTTCACCCCTGCCTGTATTAAAGCTAGAAGTCAGTGTAGTCCAGTCCTGCAGAATCATCTTACCTGAATTTGACTGTCAAACATTCGAAGATTGTTGCCCCTCAATGTGTTCAGAAGACCTTGCGTCTTCACCTAGGAGGAAGGATTATATCAATCGCATATTCTAAGTCAACCAGATTATTCCCTGATAGAAACAATCAATCCCTGAGTCGCTGAATTCTAGACTGAAGTAACTGGTTATCAAAAGGGATGCTCTCCTTAAGTCTTAAACTTGAAGTCTCATCACCCACAAGGCAGTGAATGGTTAACAGTGACCTAAACAGGTTCATTTGATATTATTTGTTCGGATTCTGGACTCCGTGTTAGCCATATGTTTGAAATTAGGGGTTCCCAGTTCCCCTAGGTAAACCTGCACGTGCACCAATCCGGTCATATGCGCCAGACTTTCGCATTCGCCCTTTCATTTTTGTTAGGGATACCGTTGTCGCGTGAATGTAGAGAACAGGACTTATTTGAAAGAGGTCGCTATGAACGTGAAGCCACATGAGGGCATTTTGAGGAGAAGAGCAAAGTTTACCCACCCTTAGTTGTAACTTGGTTGTTGAGGAAATGAGCTCATGACTATAAAAGTATACCAACCGTTAACTTTAGGCATGATTAAACGTTAAATAGATAACAGCAGAATTTAAACAGACAAACAGCATTGAAAGAAGAGCAAATAACAGTAAAACAACGAAGGAGAATAGATGTGTGAGGACAAATACTCGCCACGAATAACATTTGCCAGTGGTAGCGCCACACTATGAAAATTGGAAGAAGTTAGAATTCATGGACTGGCCATTAGATCGGGTCCCAGTGACTTAATAGTCTCTGAGTTCGCTATTCTTGTGACCGGGTTCGAACCCCGGCGGGTGCGTACGGCTGAAGGGTCCCAAACTAGGCGGACGAAATAGCCTTTCAGTACTCCCAGGTTTCCCAATGGTTCTCTAACCGATGTCAGTTCATGATGGAATCCTGAAAGCAATCAAATTCCGGCAAACCAACACTTGAGAAAAGTAGATAAAATCAAGTGAATCTTACATAACCTTTATTACCCTAACCTATTTAACAACTGGAAGACAACGCCACGTATTATTGAAATAATGTGTCCAAGAGTTCACCTAACAAAAGCACCACAAACATAGATTCAGCAACATGCGATAACATTCTACAAGTATCTCAATAGGAAGATCCCAAGAGTAATTTTAGACAAAACGATGGACATGCTGCCATAAAAGGTTGACGACAACCATCTATTGACGGTTTACTGGTGAAATTTACTGTAATGAAGTTATGGCCAGCCTAACTAACAACAAACCTGTTAAAACAATGTTCAATTGGGTGCAAAGTAAGAATTAACAAATCAACCACTATAACTGTACACTTTGTAAAACATAGTGCAGTTAAGAAGTCAGTGAGTGGTATTGGATAGACCCAGCACATCCCTAGTACATGGAGGTCAGAACATGATTATTTAAATTATAATGTTGAGACCTTTATCTCTGGGGTGAGGAAAGCAGTCAATAATTCTACAGAATGTTAACAGCTCGCTAAATTAGTAGATATCGAGCTTTTGTTTAATACAGTGGTCCAGTGCATTAGAATCGAATATCCTTCTGGTATCAAAAACGTGTAAATTCGGTGAATGTTAAACATTCTTTTTCCTGAAACCGAGATGCCCTCGTAAATGACATGGAATGGCTGACGGCGGATAGACTTCGGTCTTCCCCTTGAAGTGCTCTCACTTAGCCACGCGTTCATAGCTTCTTCAGAGTGAGTTTTATACACTGCCTTCGTGTGACAGGGGTGTTCCTCATAAAAGTGTGAGTGAGAGAGAATACAAAAGTCTGGTGCATACAACCAGATTGGTGGAAGCTGGAAAACCCTGACTCCAAACATGGTATACACGAGCTCCAGAATCAGAACGGATAGGGATTGGAATGGAGTAGGAACCAGTTCAGGTCACTGGAAACCATGAGGACGCTTCTCCATTGCCTTGTGGATAGGAATTCAAGTCAAAGATTCGGGGAATAGCTGCTTAAGACAAACACCTGCTTCTGTCCGACAGCCCACCAGGCAGTATCTCATCCAGATTACCTAAGTGGTGGTTCATAAGCCTTTTGAAGTGACGCATAAACAGTGGTGGTGCAAAAAGAATATGTGTAAAATAATTCATAGTAGGAACCATGTTAATGTATACTTATCGAGTGTGAAACATTCCAGCTGTCTGAAGGTGAAAACAAAAAGTAATTACCCGCCCTGAGAATCAAATAAACTTACCATCTTCTTGTTCAGCCTCTTCAGCAATCGCGTCCATATGACCTGGACCGGTAGCTCGTAGTGACCTATTTTCAACAGCTGAGTGCTGCATTTGATCACCATTCGCCATACTTTCTGATTCATTCACCAGCCCATATGTAGCCTTAAGGGTTGCAAGACGAGGTAAACAACGAGCCTCTAAATGACTAACAAGACGTTGGGCTTGTGCAAAACTTTTTGCTTTTCCAATATTCACACGTAATTCTTGCAAAGTTTCAAAATATTGTTGTTCTACTGCAATAGGAAAACGTATAGGAATAAAAGCAGGTGAGGGAGTTTGAGTATCAGCAGAGGCGTTATGCAGGTTGTCGCTCGATTGTTCTGTGGTAGCAGGTACCGATGAATCCCCGATTTGATTTGATACTGGTTCTGCAATAGATGAATCTGTCTTACCATTCTGACGATCATTTGTTGATTCATTTTGTGCGGATTTGGCAGACTGAGATTCGGAATCATTATCCAACTGCACCCATATGGGAAGGGAACGTTTGAACCAATAGTAACGCTAACAGGGCAAAAATGTTTAGGAAAAAGGTCATAAACCAAGTAGGTAATCAAATAAGATCAAACAAAGCAATTAATGGTAAGAGTAGGAGGTGGGGAACAAGCAAAACTACCGGAAAAAAATCTTTGGGTAGTGTGTCTACAGAAAGATTTTTCTGTGGAGGAATGCCATCATAATGAAAGTTTAAAATTTCACAGTAATCGTTACAAAGTAACAAATTTATTGACGTCATATAACAACAAACAGTAATATCATAAAAAGTGAGATTTGATGCAAATCGGGAAAATGCTATTCAAAACTACTTAAAACTGCATCCCCCCAACCGCTAATAATTTTATTTTAGTTGTATTCATGATTACAAGTAGGTACATACAGTGTAAGACAGAAAAGGAAATAACCAGCATTTCAATTGAGAGACAGCTAATTGATCTGCTGCGTTTCAACACAGAACTTTGCACACCACAGTAGCACGACAATGCGAGCTGGCGCACTTCCAAGTAGCATACAAAGGTAGGGGAGAGAAAGAGAAAAAAGTTCGAAAGAAGGGGGGGGAAGAATAGTAATAAGGAAATATATGCGGATTTATTGGATCTGAAAGAGATTACAAAGAGTGAATATGCATCTGAGCTATTGAGAACGATTTCCAGCCAGTCATATCACACACTAACAGTTTCCAGCTATTGTTTTTTAGTGTCTTGAGGACTCCAACCAGACAGGACCACACCGCGCTACATGGTTCAAAACAACAACCAAAAAGCTTCATGGATTGATGACAAGTTTTGATTTGCCCACCTGACTCTTCGCCAATCTAATCCTAAGTATAAAACTGAAAACTACTGACTCATTGAGATGAATATCACTCATATTGACCAGTAGTGCTTGCTAGCCAACCAGATCGAAGTGATCTAAACATCGGTGGGGGGAGGGGTCAGACTCACACCGGTGGTGTAAGCGGTTTGACTCAGCTTAGAGACAGCTAAATCAGTACAAACCACCCGATTTCTGGTGGTAACACCTTGGATCAGATTCGTGCACCACTGATGACCTCGACAACAAATGAGAGAAGCAGTTGTCCGGTGTTTGGGTTACTTTGGTCTGGCTAGCACCCAAGTACTGCTGGTTGATATGAATGATATACATTTGCAAATTTTAATCAGTTACTAGTAAATAGGTCCACAAATTTACGCTTGCTTTCATGATTATCGTTTATGGCATAAACCTAATCACAAATTGGGATCTGAATAATTTCGGCTGTCAAAGGAAACTGTGGTGAAACTTCGCCTTGAACTGTGTAAATTGCATTTTTGCTAACTGAGAATCTGGTATGATTCTATTTCAGCTACCATTGCTCAACAACACATGCCCTAGCCATCTCAATCGACGTAGCCTCACAAGCTGGTCGATTGACTTGCTATCCATTCCAAAAACACACTCTAACGCTCACCCCTCCCCCTAATATCACTCACCATATTCATACCCCTCAACTGAGAACCAACCAACAGTATCCTTCTGATGATTAATAGGCGCCTATTATTTAACAATTAAAAATAGGCAGAGAGAATGAGAAATATAATAACTAAAAATTAGCCAATTTACCTGGAAATAGATAAGGAAAATATTCAATTTACGTCTCTTTTTCCCACGATCAAAGAAACTCCCAGATGTTTCAAGTAGTGTACAGATTAAAATAATTCTGAACAATGAATCTGGAGGATCAATGATACTTGGATAGTCAGCTAAAAAATGGTCACAGACAAAAAGAAACACAAATTGTACGGTGTGTGATATCTTGATGAAAAGTATCAAAATTATTATTTGGAAAACAGATTTTCGCCCTTTAAAAACACGACAGTTTTTTATTCCTTTACGTTCCCAGGCTACAGGCTTGAAGTTCCGGTAGCAGTGGTGTTTATTTTTACTGGGTGCAGTTGCTAACCTCATGCCCAACCTTCTTTCTTTATCGGTTTTATTACCGGCTTACCTAGGTAAAAGAGTGCGTCGGCCAGGGATGGAACCCCGGACCACATGAGTGGTTGTTGAGCACTCTACCGCTAAGCCACCGACACCAAAAAAACGCCGAAACACAACACACTCGTTAAAAATAGTAAGTTCTGGTAATCGAACTATATGAAATTGAATTACAACTCAATAATGTGTGCGAAACGCTATTAGCAATTCTATAGAGTTTTCTGCATACTATTTTCTTCATTCCCAGCGCTTCCGGTGGAGCATAGGGCTTCAATCTTTGATGTTTCAGGGACAGTGGTGTCGTTTTAACGGGATGGGGTTGTTAGCCCCATACCAAATCTATCTTCTCGGGACTTACTGACACAGCTAAAAAAGTAGGCGAAGTTTAGGAATGTACCGGTGCGGAAAAGAACTCGGACAACTTACGTAGGTTCGAATCTCACACCAGACACCACTTTAGTACGTCAGTGGTACAATCGTAGAATGCTTGACAATGATACATGTGGCCTAGGATTCGACTCCCAGATGACTCACTTCTAATCCTTCGCATAGTCAGCAGTAAGCTCAGAAAAGAGGGAAAGCTGGGAGTGAGACTGGCAAGCCAATCAAGTAAAAATAAAACCACCGCTACTGACACTTTGAAGCTGTATGTTCCACTCGGAACTCTATGTTGAATCCAGCCAGCCAGCCACTCGGAACACAAAGGATTGAAAAAATAAGGTTAGGGGCTGGAAATATCACCTAGACTTGTAGTGGAGAAACGTCTTCAATCAAATGTCAAAGGTGACAAAAAATTAATGAACAAGATAGGCTACAAATCTCAAATACAAATTATGGTATTTTCATTATGAAGAATAACTGACTGACTGACTGGTTGTGACGTAAAACTTTGCACCAGTGTGCAGCAGTTTGAGTCACCACACTTCACTTAGTACACAAAGCAAAAGAAAGTAAACAGAAATACAAAACAGAGGCAGTAAACAGAGATTTGAGGCAAAAAGAATAGTAATATGGAAGAATGATACAGTTTGATTGCATACAATAAATCACAAAAAGTGAATGCATCGGCGCCAGCCACTGACAACGATTTTCAGCCACATCACCCACTGTCTGCAGTCACCCTTCCTTTTTACCATCCTGAGGACCCCAACCAGCCAGGAGTATACACCTCCCTATGTGACTAGTTGAAACTAACAGTCGCAGATTTCATCGACTAATAAAGCTATGTTTTGGTTTGACCACCACTAGCTCTTTTGCAACCTGATCCATCATATGTCAGTCAGCTAACATCGACGGTCGATGATTAGGCTTGCATGCGTAACACATATCCTAACTATCTCAATTGAAGCATCTACTTCACAACCTCGTCGACTGATATCCCTTCCCGTCTACCTAGCACTCGACCGATGCCTAACATCAATATCGCTCACCTTAATATACCACTTCACACGGGACATAAAACGCAGGCACCTATGACCAAAGACAGCTATACGGCCTTTTCATGTCTTCCACTCTCAATGGCCATGTCTCACTCACAGCCATAGAGGAGGACGGACCGGACTGCTGAGCACTACACACGCCCTTCGGTCGACAGCCGGCTGGATATCCCGTCTATGCCACAGACGGCGTAAACTGGCATATACCAAACGATCTTTCTATATCCGTGGTGAGATCTCGTCGGCAGAGACCAATCCATTGGCGTTGGCTGAGGCAACTCCCCAAATAAGTGAAGTCGTCAATACGCTCAGCCACAACTTCATCCCTGCCTGTCTTTACGCTAGAAGTCAATGTAGTCCAGTCTTGCAGCATCATCTTACCCGAATTTGACAGGAGCGAATCGCATGTCAAACATTCGAAGATTGTTGCCCCTCAAGGTATTCAGAAAACTCCGCATTATGTCAACGTAATCACCTTATGAAAAATAAAATAGTCTAGTGAAGATAAGAGAAAAATTGCCTAGGACACTTTAGTCAGTACACCATTTTAGTTATTATTCAATTGGTTTACTTACGATCCAAACTGACACCGAATGTGAGAAGTGAGTAGAGCGTTTTAAAGATGACGGGTGAATCCACCAGACAGTAATTGTACAACAAACCAAGATATTTAACCATGACAATTCGACGTTGATTTAAATTTGGAAGGTTAAGCTGAATATAAAAGTGAGTTGTAATAAAAAGCAATTAGAACAAGTGAAATCTCTAGAGAGTACATGTATCAAATCGGATGAAAGAATAAACACTAGATGGTATATATAAATAAATTTTAAACATGTTAAACAATTAAGTTATCTCACTTATTACTACTACTATTATTATTCTCTTGGGTTATGAGTGGAACATAAGGCTTGCAAAGCACATCTCTGTTTAATCATGTTCTATGTAGTCATTTTTAGTTAGCCCCACGACTGCTCATAAGCTCTTATTTCCTCTTCACATGATCTCCTCCATGTCAACCTCGGATGACCGACTCGTCCTTTCCCATTCAAAGTTCCAAACTGTGGTTTATATCTATAGCTAGTGAGTGGTCCATCTCATCTGCATAACGTATCAATTGAAAACACATGACGAATAGGCTTCTTTTCAGTTATTGTAGAACAAATTCAAATGAATGTAACGTCTCTAACTGCAGCAGCACTGGGTGACGTGGGTTCGAATCTCAGAAGAAATATGAGTTCCTTCAATATTGCAGATACGCCTTGCTAACAAGTGTCGACAAGCTCGAAAACTAGGTTCAAGACTTCCAGCTGATTGCCTCCGACTATCTAATAAGAAAAATTCACAGTGTGCAATGTGGTGGCCAGCCACATAGCATGCTTGTGGCCACAGTGCAAACTTGACTGACAGAATTCAGTCTGCGCTAAAGATAGGACTAGACACATTACTCTAGTTACTGACTGATGTCCAGTAAAAAAAAATTCAAATGAGTTCGATGGTAAACGCTAGTTGGAACATTGATTTCACTGATCCGTAGACAGTGAAGAATTTATTTTCATAAAGTTACTGAAAAATCTATAATTCTTCATTTGAAACACACACACAATTTGAAATGATAATCTAGAAAAACAGATTAGTGATGACAAATCGCGATAATTTAGAGTATTTCCGACAACTGACTTCCTAATGCATGAAGGAAAACATCAATAACACCAATATCAGTCCATTACGAATCCAGTCATAATAGCACTAATAGACGTAAAGAATATGCATGGTCTCTTTATTTAGCACAGACCTTTTTCATACACATTTTTACCAACTTCTGCAAATCCACGACATAGCGCGACCACTAACCAATGTCTTCGGAGGGTATTTGTCATCACGCCAAACCTGCTGTAACCTACTGTTCACAATTTCCCACTAAAACCCCGGGTGACGACCTACCTGAATAGGGCCAGTCGCTAGTGGGCATCTTATTGATATTCAAATATTGGTTTATAGGGATTTGATTGATTGCTGAAGAATCCCAAACTAGGACGAAACAGCTGTCTAGTGCTCCTTGGTTGGTTTTTCAATGGTTCTCTAACCCGAGTCAGCTCATGATGAAATCACATAATCGATCAATAAAATCCCTACAAGCCAATACCTGAACAACATTCTTACCTAGTTTTATAATGTAGTTGTAATTAAGTTGGCAAACTAAGTGATACTAATACTAATCGAAACTAAGAGAGTACCAACCGCATCTTGACAGGAATTTCGGAAAGATGCTTCTACAATGACAGTAAGAACGAGTTGATTGATTTAAGGAAAATATTTGTCACATTTAAAAACAGTTGGTGACTAACCTTCAGATGCATGAGCAATAAGTTAAATCACTTAGTCTATAGTTTACTTTTTTCATTATACTTCGTATATTTACGGATAACTTGTGTGACCACGAACATTTTTCAACCATACCACTTTACGCATCACAAGCTTAGCTTCACTTACTTTCTCCTCACCATTTATATATATCACTCAGTAATCGCCTAAAAAAATCTTTGATAATCATGACGGGAATACATAAGGTAGAAAATGGTCAATAATCTCCGAATATAATACTGTCGTCAACAAACTATAATAATTTATGTTGGTTTCAAGTTGGATTACATATTAATATCAGTTAGAGAACCACTAAAAAACCAGGGACTGCCAGACAGCCGTTTCGTACTAGTTGGGGACTCTTCAGCAATACGCACCTAGAACTTTCAGGTTATCACTAAGTTACTGGGACGGAGTTCAGGGACCCACAAATTCCAACTTCTGTCAGTTCGCTGTTTTTAGCACCACTAACGGCCAATATCATCGATGAGTATTTGTCCACATAACCGACTTGGTGGACTCACTAGAACTCTGAGCAACTTCGTCCTGTATTCAGTCACAAATGAGAAACATATCAACTTCCGAGTGCCAGTTTCTAGGGATTCGATTGATTTCAGATTGATTCCGTCCCAGTGGCTGAATGGTCAGTGAGCTCACCTCGTAACCTAAAGATCCTGCCTTTAGTCTCTGGTAGTAGGGTTGTGGGTGAATACTGATGGAGAGTCCTAAACCTGAATGAGACAGCTAGCTATCTAGCACTTCCTAGCTTTCAATATTTTTCTAACTCATATCCATTTGTGGTCAAACTTGAAACCAATCAAATCCCTTCGAACTAACACTTGAGAATATGATAATTCACTTTAGGGTATGCTATCATCACTTTAAAAAAATATACATATATGTTTTCCAGTAAGACAGATATACGACTCAACTAAACTAACCTCCATTCCCATACGAATATCTTCGATGACGTTATCTACAATAATTGTGGCGAAGTCTGGATGGTAGACAGCTAGTCCAGATAACACGCTGGCTAAACAATTAATGTTAGTAAAACGTATCTCCCATGCTCTAGTAAAAAGACTGGACACATAGTCAACAAGCTAAATAAAAATAAGGAAAGAATATAGTAAATTAATCAGGTGAAATGTTGAGAATAACAAAACATCTTATCATAAATTAGACATGCACTTTATGCCTTGTAAGTGCGTCGGTGGTTCAGCGGTAGAAAGCTTGCTCACCGACCACGCATGTGGTCCGGAGTTCCATCCCCAACCGACGCACTCCTTAACCTTGCGGTAAGCCCAGTGAAATGGGGAGGTTAGGTGTTAGGCTAGCCCAACCCTAACCTGTAGAAAATAAACACCACAGCTAGTGAAACTTAAAAGCTCAAGTTTTAAGCTCTATGTTCCACAGGGAACACAAAGGTTATAAAATAAAAACTAAGCCTTGTATTGATAATGAAGTACTTGAGACAAAAAGGCAACGCTATTATCAGATTTATAAGCACAACGTTTACATTGGGAAAGATCAGAAATATTCCAAAAACACAAGTTAAGTATGTATATGTGCACACTAAGCAAGTGTCCACAATCTCACAAATCAATTTTAAGAGCTGTTGATTTTTTTTGGTTATGTGGAGTAAAACGAGAATAGAGTTTGAACCTTTGGGTTCAGATATGTAAATATTGATTGCCTACTGCATCACTCACTAGCTTACAGACTGTCCTTCAACGAGATAGCATTTGTGAAAAAAAAGAATTGTTATGACGTTTACAGAACTTGAAATGAAATAGATCTTGAGATGTCTCAAGTGTTCTTCATCCGAGAACTGAATGTCAAGATGCTGAGTGAAACTCATTTAACAATCTGAAACAGCGAACAGACAGTAAAATTCATTGCTAAAAAGACAGCTTAAAAGTATAGTAATGATCGGTAAGTGCATCGGTGGTATAGCGGTTAGGACGCTCGCCGACCATGCATATGGTCCGGGGTTCGATCTCCGGCCGGCGCACTCCTTTACCTCACTAAGCCAGAAATAAAGCTGGTGAAGAGGAAAGGTTGGGCATGAGGCTAGCAACCCCATCCTGTAAAAATAAACACTGGTACAGAAACTTCAAGACTCTAGCTTGAAGCCCTATGTTCTACTGGGAACGTGAAGGAATAAAAAAATGATCGGTAAACGATACCAATGAAAGTACCATGAAAGAAGAATACAGCAAATCAAGTCAAGATCATAAAATGCAAGAGGTTTTAGAAAACAGACTGTAGGATGAGAGCTTCATTGATTGTGGATTCCTATGAAACAGCATAGTTTTGTTCATTTTAAAAAAACAAATATCAATAGAATAAAAATTTTCATGGACATACAACAGGTGAAGTGGTACTTTCCTAAAGAATATCAGAGAATATTTTCTCCTAGTCTTCGTTTGCGAAACATTTGGTACGAAGGACTTATCCACACAGTATACATATTTCGAATGTTTTTAAAACGACTTAGAAATGAGAAATCAGATGAAATAGGATCATATTCCACTGTCTGAGGGACTATAATGCGTCATCGACTCGAAAGCAAAGAATGCAACAATATTCCGAAACGGAATCACATGAAATGTTATAGTTGATCTCAATCTGATTAAACCGCCTTATGGAATAACTGGTAATTCGACAGAACACTAATTCCCTTACACGCCTAACTAGAATCTGGGTGGTGTTGGTGACTGCATGGCCAATAAATGGCACCTTGATGGGATGATCGGACTTTTATATCGTGATGAACTAATACATTGGCTGGAATTAATGTTCCTGTAGGTCCTAACAAGCCAGAGAGGTGGTTTGGACAGCTGTTAGATTACAGGCAGTTACCATAATGGCGTAAGCTGCTTATACTATGTTGGGGGTTTTGTGGGCAAAGTTATACTGCTGGGGAATAGGGATGTGAACAAGGTGTTTCCTCGAGATGATCAGCGTGCCAGTTATGCTGCCTCTCCAATGTGGAGAAGTGGAATTAGAAAAGGTTGGTACCGGAAATAGGATATACCTGTTTACCTTGAGGCGGTCCGTAGCCGGCAGTAGCATCTCAACACGGAGGCAACGCCAAAAATCACCTCAAACAGGTCATTTGACTCACCTCAAGCAGTTGCCCCTTGAGCTCTGTGGTCAGGTTCCACCTTCTGTTTCAGGTACCTCAAGAAGAAATCAACTCCCATGGTGTGAGCACCCGGAAAGTAATGACCACCCCCACACACACTTCCAGTGACACAAAAGCTTTCTTGAACATCACTCCATTTCATCATCCTGCTTTCATCTCACAATCAGGTATCAATAATTCAACCCTCTGAGTAGAATTAGTAAAAGTGAAGTAATGAAAGACCTTATTCTCAGACGAATGACAAAATGGTCCACTGTTTGCATGGCTTTGATTTGTTTAGCAAGCATTACTGTTTGATTTATGTAGCTTCATCAAATTCCCCACTGATAATTACATTTTAAACCATCATTTCTTACCCAAGTTTTGAACTCAGTGTGCGAAAGGGGAGGATTTAGAGTAAATTAAATGAATTCAACTTATCTCACAAGAATTTGTTCTTCTTGCTTCACAAAAATCTCACTATTATCCTTTCATACTATACACAAATCCATAATCAGATGAAAGGAAGGAGCAAACTCTTAATGGAAAAAACGCGCAGACTTACTTCTTGATCCTCCCAATCCATCTTTCGAACTAATCGAAGAACAGAATTGACACTGGTACGATCTAATGTTGTTAGCAAAGTATGACGAATAAACGCCATTTGAGGTGACAGTTTTACTGGTTCAACAATCTGAAATAATAAGGAGCAGAAGAAGAAGAATAACAAAACTTACACAAAAAAGAAACTCTAAAACAAATACAGAAATAATAAATGAATCATGTACTTTAGGCACAAGGCATACATTCATTTACCTGATAGACACGCCACAAGCATATGCAATAAATTTTTCCTTATTTCAAGCTTGATTCAGGAACACTGATATAATAATAATAGTAATAATTAACACAGGATTGATCACAAGCTGACGTCAGTTGGAGAACCGTTGGAAAATCTGGGAGTACTGGACAGCTGTTTCATCAGCCTAGTCTGGGACTCTTCATCAGTACCCATCCATCGAGGGTTCGGAACCAGCACCTTCTAGTTACAAGGCAAGATTGCAGATCATTCAGCCGTTGAGACCCAACTCAATGGCCCATGAATTCTAACTTCTAGTAGTACTTTTCTAAAGAATATCACAGAATTCACGACTTCTCACTAGAAGTGGGGACAAATACTCGCCAATGACATTCGCTAGTGGTCTCGACATATCGTGAATTGACAGAAGTTGGAGTTTGTGGGCCATTGAGTCGGGTCCCAACGGCTGAATGGTCTACGAGGTTGCCTTGTTACCGGAAGGTTCTGGGTCCGAACCCCCGCATACCGACGAAGAGTCCCAAACTTGGAAGGAACAGCTGTCTAGTACTCCCAGGTTTTCCAGTGGTTCTCCAACTGGTGGCAGCTCATGACGAAATCTTGTAACCCGTTAAATCCCTGCAAACCAACACTTTAATATATGTAATAATAATTCTAGTTATAATTTACTGTTTATTTACAGATTAGAGAGTAGATTTACAAGCTCCTTTTTTTACATTTGTCTACTTTGATTAAACACTAGTTAGTAACTAGTGTAAATCTGTCTAGTCCTTTGTTTGGTTCAGACTGAATTCTATCAGTCAAGTACGAAACCTAGGTCGAGCAAGGCTTCCTGCCGATTGCCTCCAACCATTTAATATCAACAATTCACAGTGCACAGTGATGGCTAGCCACCTAGCACGCTTGTGGTCACATTGCAAACTTGACTGATAGAATTCAGTCTATACCAAACAGAGGACTAGACACATCACACTAGTTACTTACTGCCTAGTGTTCAATCAAAGTATCTAATACAATCCTACAGGAGGTCAATCACGAGTCCGAATAGCTCAGTGGTAACGTCTCTGACTGTAGCACTGGGTGACATCGGTTTGAATCTCGAAATGAACACAAGTTTCTAAAAAGTTGCAGATACGCTTTGATGACTGTCGGGTGCAAATTAGCACGAAACCTAGGTCCAAGGCTTCCTGCCGACTGCCTCCAACTATCTAATATTCATCTCTTCACACAACACTTGTACTAAATATGGCATAGTTCAACTTTTATATTTTGTTGCACGAGCATAAATTCTTATGAAATGTCTCCTGACTTTAACCCAAAAGAAATACATAGAGAAATCTGCGAATAAAGAGGATTTCCGACATCAAACAAGATGACTTTAGCCAACTGCCTGCAAGAGTCAAAATGCCTATCAACAACACTTAGTCAGTTAGTTGAATCAAAGGCACACCACTAATCCTGCTTACAGTCTTCAATGTACTACATAATACGATATAATTTTTCTTTAGAAGCCCGAGACACAATAAAGACGAATGGGTAGAATACATCAATTAATAAATTGTAAGAGAAGAGGTTGCGTTATGCCAGCAGAATGTCTCAACTTCCTTATGTAATAAGTCAACCAAAATACTTTCTTAGACATCAACATGACATGAGACGACCACCAACAAAGATTTGAAGAGAAACTAATACCATATTCGGCTTATTTCCTACCACAGTGCAGTCGATATTACAAAAATCAACGGGACTGAACCAGTCCGCGCAAGTCTTGTTCACGTCTGAAAGTGAAAACAACTGTCTCACATTTACAGGGATTCAGTTAAAGACCATTTGAGTAGGACCATTAATTAACTTCAGGTAAGAAACTATTCACATCAGAACAATTTAATACAGAAACAACTGGGACAGAAGTTGTCAGATCATTTGAAATTCTACTGAAGTCCTCATGTAACTGATAGGAAGTGGTTAAAATCAGGCTTAAATCATTGGCTGCTGAAGCAGTTAAGTTTTATTCAAATTCGCTTAGACCACATTTACCCTCATACTAAATCTACAACCAGTCGAATTGGTTTCATTTTTCGAGTATTGGTAATGTATACCTATAATACACATAAGATTTTGGTCTAATAAAGTTGTTGTTTTCATTGGGCACAGACTAGTCTTGTCTTATACACTGATGAAACCTGTTTATAGGATGTCCACTGACTAAACGACAAGACAAGAAACAGTATTCCACACTTCATAACATTACAAAATCAATTACCTGACGATCAGTTGACGGTGGATTACAATAATAATAAGTATTCTCAATCATGATTGAATAACGTTGATCCATGTGTAATGCAATTTTCTTTCTAAGCATTACTTCTAAATAAACTTTTGTACGTTTATGCGATATAGGCAATCGATAGAGGAAACGTCCACATGTATCTAATAAGGCGCATGCCATATCAATATTATGATGTACAAATTGTGGTAATAGCTGTTTCAGGCATGTTAACGCTTGATGAGCTGGATAAACACTGAATTTTACAAGTTCACCTAAAAAGGAAACGGAAAGTAGATAGTTATTAATTTGTAAACTGAGCACGGCCAAGTTAAACTTTAAGTACCACCAACTACCACCAATGGAGTGCGACCGCACCAACCACCTTGAAACGCTCACTGAACAAATTAGTGAAAACTGGAAAATAATGTCATCATCAATCAAATATGCTCAACGAAGTGTTATGCTACTAAATGGGATATCTGGTAAGTTTCAGCTTAGGTTTAAGAAAGATTAAGTTACGCTTTAAGCCAAGGACAAGTTAGGATTAGATTAACCTAATAAAGGCGAAATTAGGGGTGGTTTGAGTTAGATTACAGTCAGTTTAGGGATATTTTCACGTTAGGGTTGGGTTCAGGAAAGATTAGGGCTATTGTTAGGGTTAGAAGACCTAAATAACTGCATGCGTAGAATGTGGCTAAATTACTCTTTTAATATAAGAATAGTACTTGTGCAATGTGGTAGAGTATAATTCCATTGCGGGTAACATTTATTTTGATAAATTCTCACAGTGTTATACAGAATATTTACTGACGACCACGTTTCAAGCACAATTTTCTGCTCAGCAAATATTACTGTATAACACTATGAGACTTTATCAAAATAAATTTTACCCACAATGGAATTATACTCTCTTGATACTCCAACTTAAAACTGAGAGCAATTTTTATCACATGTGAGAGGAAGGTATCCTCTGTAACACTTTTCTATAGTTTTAATGCATTTTTTTCATAAATATATGCATTCCATACACAAAAATGCCTCCTTCACGTGATCGGTGTGTTCGAGGCCATTCGCTGATTGGTAGTTAGTGGTGCTTAAAGTTTAACTTTGCCCTGAGCACATAAGCAATAACTTGTAATAAGTACTGTTTAGGAAAAAAACAGTAGGTGTATCGAAATCCAATCATAAATTCTACAAGTGAATTATAGTTCAACTAAATTTGCGGTTTGTTTCCCACGCTGTGATATTTGATGAGTAATATTGAGGTTAGACGTAGAGTGTTAGGTAGAAAGGCGGAAACTCGATCGATGAGATTGCGAAGCTAAATCAGTTGAGATGGCTAGGGGACATGTGTTACATATGTCTAACCATAGCCTTCCTCGGCGAGCAATCTCAGCTGACATAGGAACAGATTGGAAAAGAGTTAGAGATGGCCAAATCAATGAAGTCTTTGACCATTAGTTTGAGTCACACAGGGAGGTGTCAATTGGCCGGCATGGGGTCGTCAAGACCGCTACGAACCAATGTCTGCAGCCTATTGATGATATGGCTCAAAATCATTCTCAATACCACATATACATTCAATCATTATGAACTTCTTGACAGATTACGTTTTAACTATTCGCCATGTACTTATTCTGTCTTCTGTACATTTCTTCCCTCCATATATGCATGCTTATGAAATGCGACAACTTGCAATTTACGTCAGCAATTCAATTCAAGTGATTTCAAAACTCTGACATCTACATAGCACGCCCTCTCATAGCCTCTACCGGGTGATTCCCGTTCACTGTTTTCACGTGGTGGGAGTGTTCCACACAAAAGTGAAAGAGCGAATCCGAACCTCTGGTAGACAACCAAGTCTACTCAGGAGGACTGGAAAACCCTGACTCCAAACACACGGTGTTCATGGGCTTCAGAATCGATCAAATGTTGTGTGAACCCGTTCAGGTTACCGTCAACCATGGGAACACAGCTTCTGACGCTGCTCCACAGCCTTGTGGATCACACTTCAAGTTAATAGCCCGGGAAGGGATATATATATGCTTCAGCCTAGGTGTTCGATCAGTATCTCAGACCTAGCACAAACTCTGTGATTTTGTGCGGTGCCTCTCTCGGTGCCCATAATGTGCTAAGTTTCCGTTTCAATAACAATAGTAATACATCAATTTTAAATCAATATACGTTCAAAGTACAATCAGAATTGTGATCAAGACTCAAAGTTTAACTGATTTGAGTTCAACTTTAACTCTAACGGTAGGTTCTCGGAAAATTGATCATAGGTTAAAAACATTGAATTGACGATCTGATTTCTTGAAAGTTACAAGTTTATCACAAAGGAGGACAAAATCAGAAATACACAAAATATTGCATAATACAACTTTTAGATCTGGAAACATCGAATGAGAGAATTGTATTTTCATAAAATGACACTTCAGCACACTCATAAATATTTCAATTGAACTAAAGAAAATAACAGTAAGACGTCATCATAAAACATACCGATAAATCGAACCACTTTCAGCTTGGATTCAATATTTATCTGATCACGCTTGGCAACACGCCAACGGAATTCTGTTGTCAGCATAGAATTAATATCCTGTACTAAGTCAGGCATCACAGGTGCTAATGCAGCTACAAACCGTGCATAGAATGGTAATAAATCATAACGTGTTCTTGGAACATTGAATAAAGCCTTTGCGAGGCGTCGACGATTTGCACGTTTATTTAAATTCAAACAAAAATCTATAGCTGCCTAGAAATGAAACATGGTAAGCAGAATATGTATTATGATAAGATTAAGAACTTATCAGGTAAATTAAATGACTTTTGAAAAACTGTATTCTGACATATATGTAACCCATTATTATTCCCTTGGGTTCCGAATGGAACATAGGGCTTCAAAAGCACATCGGCAATTCATCCTCTTATTTGCAGTTGTTTTTAACTGACCCCACAATTGCCCATAGGGTTTCATTCCCTCCTGGTAACACGATATGCGCCATGGCAACCTCGGACGATCAACTTGTCGTTTCCCATTCTGGTTCCCCCACATTTATACTAACCGGGAAAAGAAGGAAGGCTGGGCATGGAGCTAGCGACCTTTCTCCGGAAAATCAATTCAATCGCTACGGAAACTTTAAAGCACATTGATTTAGAATTACACAATAGCACTGCTAACAGAAAAACTTGCAAACTTGTTATATATATATATATATATATATATATATATGTATATATATATATATAACACTAACAACGGAAAAGTTTAACTACATTCACTGTTGTTTCAATGTGAACCAAAGAGATATGACAAATGAAAGCAAACAGATTGTAAATTTTCACAGGAATCAATGAGTAAAACCTTACAATTAGGTCGATTTAGAAGGCGATTAAGCTCATTAAGTTACTAGTCTAGGGTATTTTCCCACTGCTGTTAAATTATTTTATACTACATTGCACTTTTCAGTATTCATTTTGCTTCCAATGTCTATCATAATAAAGCAATACATTCCTATTTCTGTTTTCGGATACCTATTGACATCGCTAACCATGAAGTCAGCTCAATCGACACGTATCTTGAATAATGAATACATAAATTCCGTACATGTGTGCAGCATCACTGGTTCAGTGTTAGGAAACCTGACAACCACGCACGTGGTCTGGCGTTTGATTCTAGGTCAACGCACCACTAAACCCCACTTAGTGACAAAATGCTGATGATTGTGAGATCAGCGACAGCATCCAGTAAAAAGACATCCCCGCCGCTAGTGAAACTACAAAGCTTAAGCTTCACGTCCTACATTCCACTCGGAACGCTAAGGGATGGAAAGAATTCAGTACATGTCTAACATACGCACATAAATGTTGCTTTCATATGTAACTTTACTTACTTTATCGATAAGATCACGATTAATACAGTTTGGTAGTTGAGTCAAAAATGTCTCCATGAGAACTCTACCCGATGAATTTGGATCTTCTTCACCGACTAAATAACAGAAAGGAAAGAAAAAATAACACCAAAAACTATAGAAAATATTGACAAGAAGACCAAGCCTGACAGAGCACATGTAAGGCAGGGAAAAACACACAAGAAAACTAGAACATAATGCAGTGAAGCGTTGAACTAAGCTGAGTGCATACAACAAATGCGAAACATCCTAGTTGTGAACAGCTGATTCTTAGTTATGTGCTTTTTTCTCCATTTTTAATTTAGCTTTATAATAATAATAATATTAATACACACCTGAATATTCTCTAGTAAACAATTACTGAACCACAACAGACAAAACTTACCATCATCAATGTTCAAAATGGACGGTTTAGTTTTATCGGGCGCTGATGATCCATTCAACGATTCATTGCTACCATCTGATACTTTAATCAGCGCTTCTTCTTTGGCCAACTCTGATTCAACTGTATCAATGTCGATATCTAAAACGCGAATGAAAAAAACAAACAAAAAGGAGGTTTCGACATTCCATATGTAACTCAACTGTATATAAAGAAATGCAAAAGACAAGTTGTAGATTATTATGAGGTATTGCGATTGTTTATGGGTAGAATGCTCGCCAGCTGCGCATGAGCTCCAGAGTTCGATTCCCGCCCGGTCGATGCATTCCTAACCATTCATCTAACCAGTAGTAAACCCGGAAAAGAGAGATTGGGCGTGAGACTAGCGACCCTACAGCCCTTAGGATTCTCGGTGACCATGCACATGGTTCGGGGTTCGACGCCCTGCCGACGCACACCTGATATCAATGGTTGGCCTGCGAAATTCGGACTATCGATATCAAATGCTGAAAATTCCATACTTGTACCGAAAAATACGGTGTGGAATCAAGCTATAATCAAAAAAAGCACCAGCAATTATTGAAACCTCAAAGTTTAATGACTGGAGCTTTGCGTTCCACTCAGGATGCACCAAAAATGTTGAGATGACTTCACTCTGTACACAAATAAACTAAGAGTCAAATAATAGATTTGTTATTGATTTCTGTATGTCTTATTCATTGTTTCCAACCAACCATTTTTCCTAAATAACTCACCTCAACTGCTTATAGTGATCTATGTAATTCAAGGGGAGCTGACAGAGTTTCTTGTTTTTACAACACTAAAACGTTTATACTACCTTGATCTTAGGAAGATAAGGATGGAGCCATTCGATAGATGTAACATCCTAGTTACCATGCATTTACAGAACCAACTGATTTATTTTTTATTGTAAATTACATGTGGTTCATACAGTAACCCTACTCAGAAACACTTATAAATAAGCGATATTTACTGTAGGATACAGAAAGACATTTTATGGCTCTGTAAAAGTACCTTGAACCAAATCAAAACGAACTCGGTCCCAAGAACAAGTCCTGCATATCCCAGAGTATGAGCCACACTCAATATACGAGGATTGATAATACTATCCAGTGGTCCAGGTCGAAGTAGCTGAAGCAGGATTCGAACTCCAGACCCACTGACTAAAAGTCAAGTGCCTAAACCAATGAGCCACGTCTCTACTGTCATTGCAACTGTGAACTAAGTTTGAAGTCACTAACTGTCTGAGAAAATGTAATAATTTTTTAGGGAATGTCTAACAACAAGCCTAGATAATAGCTTATGAATCAGAAATCAGAAGACAACGCATAAAATAGGGAAGTTTGCTCGACCAGATGACATTAACAGTAGAGTGAGAAGTAATCAATTTGCCGACTTGTTATAGTGTTACATAAGAAGTAAGTAACATTCATGAATTCACGTACAAGTTGTGAGGTTTCGTGTGGAAAATAAATACAACAGGTAGTCAACCTTTCAACTTTTTTCATGTACAATAGTCTTATGACTGCGTCAAACAGTCTCTCCATCTTATAATAAATAAAATTTACGTTGAGACCACAAAAATACACTAGACTGTACCTTCATTGTTCACAGAATCGACATCTTCATCCTTTGTTTGATTTGATTCAATATTCGCCTGTTCACTGTCTTTGTAGAGGATCTATTTAAAGGTAAAACAAAAAAGCCAAGAATAACAAACATGTATCAAATAATGCATTAAGTTACAAAGTCAACCTTGATCTGAATTTTATGATTCCTTCATTATTATTGCTACTATTGTTTGTTATAGCTGTACTGGATTGAGCAGTCCTGTCGCCAATTTGTTATAATCTCTATGTTATGTACCTGTCGTCAACTGATATGATCACGTCGACAGTTGATATGACTGAGCGGACTTACGCGTGAGTATAGTTAATATTGACGCAATGGACAACTCAACTGATAATTCTAGGTACACTTATTCGTCGGTCGTATCTTCCGCTTCACTGAGCCGCATAGATATCAAAAGACAAAGACTGGTCGATGAATGCTAGGATATGATTTTATCATGAAAAAGCACTTCATATTTATACATATTTTTAACCACATTAAAATCTGCCTGGGGCAGTGAACAAAGACTTGGCGGCATAGGTTGGCAAAAAATAAACGTTCTGATTGGTCGGTAATTTGACTAAGACCAAGGTAAGAAAAAGATGAAATTTTACAGTCATTCGATCACACGATGAATCAGAGGGCGGAAAACTGGCTTAACGTTCGGCTTCAGAGAAATCGTAACCGATAAGGTCTGCCATGTTGGCCATGAGAACAAATTACTCGCCAACGACATTCGCTGGTGGTCGCGTTAAAATCATGAATTGGCAGAGGTTGGAACTCATAGGCGATTAGATCGGGTTCCAGTAGGTGATTGGTCTACGAACTTGCCTTGTAACCGAAAGGACCTGGGTTTGAACGCTGGTGAGTGCGTACTGATGATGGGTCAAAAACTGGGATGAAACAGCTGTCTAGTACTCCCTGGTTTTCCACTGATTCTCTAACTGATAGCAGCTTGTGATCAAACTTGAAACCAATGAAATCCCTACAAACTAACTCTTGAGAACTAATCAATATTATTGGTTACATAATGGGACTCACAAATCAGTGGATTTGAGTTTTACAAAATTTAATAAATGAATATCTATGGAAAACTTTGACACTGTAGTAGTATGTAATTTCATATTAACTTATTTCCTGGACATATCATACAGTGAAACAGTATCCTATTTACTGGATAACGTTTCGAACACTACATTCAGTTATACACAACTATGCAATAGGGTGGGATGAAGTCAAAGTTTTCAAATATAACATGGTGGAGGGAGAGATTGATAAATGAAGTTTAATTTATCGAATCAAATGAGGAATGATTCAACACCTGTCCCAGACATCTGAGAACTTCTACAACTGTAACAACACCAAATGAGAAAGAAGAATGAGAACTACAAAGCCCGGGTTTTGAAGTTCTGCAATTACATAGTGTTTGGAACATCACCCAGTAAGTAATATTACGATCACCTAATATTATACTACCTAGATCCCCATACTGAATACTAGGAGTGGGATTTGAATTGGTGGCTCAGTGGTTGGAAGTGCCTGCCTTAACACTAAAGCAATGCGAGCTACAGCTCTAGTGAAATTTACCCCGAAAATAATAAGATGGAGATATCTATTCGAAAGAGTGTTACCAATGAGTGGTATTAGAACAGCGATAACATTTAAGAAATTTCACAATGGATGACTTACAGCAGGTACCATCGCCTTAATATCTGGTAGACTTTCGTAGAACAAACGAGTATCCTCATCTTCAAAAAGACTAATCTGCTCTTTTGCATCCTTCTATAATTTGAAAGTTCATTAAGTAAATACAACTTACTTCAGCTGAATCAACTACACTCGAATCTGTTGTAGATTCATCTATATGAATAATAAAATGTAAAAGAATAAGTAAAATATGACGACAATTTTGATTGAATTAACGCATTACAATTACTAATTAATCTTACACCTTACCAAAAGGAGGGCAAAACACAAATGATAAAAAAGCGAAACTCCACAGGACTAGCGTCCAAGAGAAATTAAACCAGGGTACAAGATAAACTTTGGTGTCCTTATAACTAACTGACAGCGTTTCAGCAAAGGACTTTGCACAGAAATGCAGCAGTTCAAGTTGCGACACACTATGTAGATGTAGCACACAAAAGTAGAGAAACGAGAGAGAAAACGACATCCGGAAGAGCTATAATAAGTAGAAATATGCACGAAGAAGAACAGTAACATGGAAAAATATGAGGATTTAATGGACATTTGAGATCAAAAACAGTGAATGCATCATTGAGAACAATTTTGAGCCAGTAGTCTCTTCTAACTGTTGGTTCTTAACACATCCCAGGGTTCCCAACCAGGTAGTAGTTGATGTGGTGTTTGGAGGTGAAGTGAGCGGTATAATGCTATACGCTGTCCATATTTATCATTTTGCAAACACTTTACAGGCAAATTAAAACTATTTCTATTCAATTTGCGGCGAAGTCAAACTGTCATAACCAAAACCACAGTGACCTTGAAGAACCAATCAGAATTCACATGCAAAAAAGTCGCATAATCGTTGAAAAATGCACTAAAAAACATTGCTAATATGGTATTACACTATATTATTGTCGCTTGAATGTTATAAGAATGTCTCCAAGTCATTACACAGATGAACTATACAGAAGTCATAGATGCTTTTATCCAGGTGACTTGTAGGTCATGGTAATTTGAGATCTATTGGTATTTCTGAGACTTCATTAACCTACTCCTAACCAAAATCTAAAAAGTCATCAACCTACTTAACAGTATAAAAATAGTAGAAAAGTACAGAAAAGTACCTAGGAAATGAGTAGAATACTTTATCTACCTTCTCCAAGTCCAAAAATAGACATGGTTTGATTTGGCATGACTCTTCACAGCATTCCCTGTATCTGACTGGTTCTCCATGGTCAACTTTTGAAAGACCTTGACTTTGGCTATGATACTTTAACTTCGCCTATTTCGCTTCTGGTTTTTTGCGCTTTATTCTTTAACTAAAATTCGGTTAAATATGCACTGTGCTTATACACAGACATAAGTATTGTGACCATATGCTTTCTTACTTCATATTACAAGCAATTTTTATTTTTATCATAAATCTCATCATAATAGCAAACCTCTAGTGTTTATGAACTGTCAGAGTATTTCCCTGGAAAACGCAGTCAAAACAACGAGAAAGATTGCTATAAATCCTATCCATTTGATTCATATTTCTCCCCTTTACCAGAACAATAATACAAACTATGTTTGACAGCCTCAGTGCAGGCTAAAATAGTGATGTCTTTAGGCCCCAAATAACCTAGAGCTGTATGTATCATAAAAAACTCGATCCGACTGATGTCATCAATAACCACCTTAGATGAAACACAGTTTTCCTAAACTTTCTGAATGAAACATAATATCTAAAAATGTATACACCAAAGAGATTAGGAGTGAATAAAATGCCAAAACACACTAACAGTTGAAAACTGATCATCATCAATTGAAATGCACACAGATGCATTCTATTCAAATAACTTTGACTTTACATGGCATCAATCCATGAAATGCTTTACAGTTAAACTGAGTCAGGTAGGGAGATGCAGACTTCCGGGTTGGGGCCCTCGGGACTCTAAGAATCAATGGCTGGAGACAATAGGTGACATGGCCAAAAATCGTTGTCAATGGCGCAGATGTATTCACTCTCTGTAATCTTCCATATTCCTTTCTACCATTACTCATTCTGTTTCACTCTTATACTTGTCAAAACTCTATTGATTCTCTTCACTCATCTTCTTGTCTACCTTTGTGTGCTATTTGGAACGTGGCAACTCGAACTGCTGCACTTCGGTACCAAGTTCTATGTTGAATCCAGCCAGCCAGCCACTTGGATGTGATAACTATAGGGTGATTCAAACAACTCTTAACCTTAGATACATGCCGGTCAATGAAAAGGAGCTGAGAATGTGTATTATGTTCATCAAGGTACTCTACACAAATTCATGACGTCACGTAAGAGATCGCAGTGACTCCTGGTCATTGTCATCACTCATGTTTAATTTAATTTCAGGCTCAATTATAGATGTAATCGTGGTTTACTTCCACGTCTAGGAGAGTAGTTCGCTTCACAACGCCTATTTTAAGAACAAGGCGTAAAATGGTTGGACGTGTTGATTACTTCACTTAGCTGAGATGTGTTTTCTTACGCATACAAACAGAAGACTAGTTTGGTATTTGCTAACTTGAGTCAACTTGATATCCGGTAGCATATCGAACGACGTGAGTAATTAACAGTACATTGCTCCATTTCACTTTGCAGCTGTGAGAAACGATCACTGAAGGTATGAAATAAGAAAAGATTAGAGGTTTCAGACCATAAATGTCTGCACTTCCGTAAAAGGTTTTTGCGTTATGTGAGCAGAAATAAAATGACAGCACTACTGTTATGTAAACCTGAGACACTGACATCTACTTTCTCCCGTTTATGTGTGAATAATTCAAACTTTGGCAATGGAGAGATTGTTTTCAATATGGTGAGCCTAAAAGACTCTAAATTAAATCCATGTCTGACATGACTCATTATCATATTTCACTTGGTTTCCTTGACCTGTCGTTATTTATGTAGTAAAATACTATTATGACTAAGGTAATTCAAATAAAACTAATGGTACAGAAAACTAATATGTGCTTTGGAGAGACTCACCTATAATTAAAGATGAAAATTCCAAGGGTGGATCTGCATCCAAAAGATCAGCCAAGGTACTTATTGACTCATGAAATTTACGACAGGCTGACATTAAATTTTCTGCTCGTTCTTGGCGTTCTTCACTCACTTCTCCACGATTTTCTAGTTGGTCACGATTTGCTGAAATGATTCGCTGGGTTTCTTTCACCATACTCTGCAGACGACGCATAGCAGCTGCCAGATAGTCGTTGAAAAGGGTACGACACTTCATTTGACGCTCAGATGACATGAAGGTGGAACGTGGGATAGGTACTTCATGCTTCTCAGATAATAGTCTAAGCAAAATGAAACCACCATTTGACTGAATTAGCAAAATGTTTTACAATGAAATTTGTAGGTTTTCTTATAAAACCTTGTAGAAAATGATTCTCGGTCATAAGGACATATAAGATCATTTGCTTATCTATGGCACACGAAAACTTGTTATTATGAAACTAATTGTTTATTTTGCATATTTAAAAGATGTCTTATATTTATAAGTGCGTTGGTGGCACAGCGGCAGAGTGCGCGCCGACCACGGAGGTGGTTCGGGGTTCGATCCGCAGTCAACGCACTCCTTTACTTCGCTAAGCCAGTAGTAAGACTGGTAAAGAGGGAAGGTTGGGCATGAGGTTAGCAACTCCATCCTGTAAAAATGATCACCACTGCTACAGAAACTGCAAGTCTCTAGTTTGAAGCCCTATGTTCCACTGGGAACGTAAAGGAATAAAAAAATAATTAAAAAATATATATATTTATAAGGAAACATTATTGATACTTCAGTTTGAAAGGTGTGGAAACTGATGTATTAACGTCTAAGGAACTAACACAATTGACTGTGGTATGAGCTAAGTATTAGTAAGAGTATATAGAGTGGCAATGAAGCAAATTACCGGTTAAACGACATTCAAAACAGACGAAAAATTAAAAATCATCAAGGTATCTTAAAGGTAGATATCTTTGAAGGTGTGTTAGTTTGTGCAGTCGTAAACGATACAGAATGCAGTGCCAAACGCTTCCATATAGAGATAACTCTTAGTTTGTTAGTGTTGACTAGGGGAACTGCGTGCGACAACAGTTTAATCTACAGAAGTATATAAATACAAACAAGTTCGAGTGCATAGTATTTTCCAACAACCTCGAAAGTACAATACTCTCAAATAGTTAACAAAAATCACACATCAAGTCTACAATAGACTTTTTATAAGTTCAGCCAAGATATTCACCGTTGAATACGAAAACTAAGGATTCCATTCACATCATACTGTATTACAGATTAGTTGGCTGTTGACTATTTGTAATACTACCAATTGCGCATCTTTATGATTACTATCCTGAGAAAAGTACTTTACAGAATATCTCGAAAATTACACTGAACACGAAATATACATGTTACATGTTTATACTTTTTAAACTACAAAGCACATGAGGTGGGAATCAAATGTGTAGTACAGTAACATAAGTTGTAGTATGAAAAAGCTGTATTCCTGATGTCACTGATTTTACTCAATGATAAAAATCAACCAAATACTTACCTTATGCGACGTGGAATAACTCCAATCCAATCGTCACTGCAATGTCGACAGAAGCTACTAAGTATCCCAATATTAGAAAAGTTTTCGTGATCATTTGCTGCTAAGATAGTCAATTGTCCAGCTAACAGTCGGATGCTGTCAGTCTCCCGAAATATTCCAATTGTATTAAGGTCAGCAAACAAAGCCAAATCAACTCGAAGCTTGGAAAGATTAGCATTCTATAAAAGCATGTTTTAAAGACTTAATCTAAAGCTAACTACCTTTAAATCTTTGTGAGAAGAAAATGATTTCTTCCATGCATCGAAAAATAATAAACCGAAATCTGAATAGCGTTGGTACATAGCTGAACACAATTTCAGCATAAATGGAATGTCAGTGATTTTTATTTTTGCCTCCACAATTGCAGTTGCTACTTCTTCAACATATTTAGAAAGATTTAAGGACTCGAACTCAGACAGAAGTATATCTTTCTGGCTATCAAGGAAATTTCGCTGCAGGAAAAAAATGCTTTATAGTTAATATAAACTTACAACTTTTTTAACAAAAGCAGTATTCTTTTTTAATGTTGAGTCTTTTTTCATGAAAAAGCTATCGTCTGGCCATTTGCCCGCCACTGCTAAGTTCTGCTCCAGTAGTGCTGTCCTTAAAGACAGACGTTCACAAGTTTCAGCAACGAACTCATTTAACTGCTTCTTCTGAAAAATAGGGATAAGACATTTTTCACGAGAATACCTCTGCTGCTTCTGGCATATGTTCTTTTTCACTCATTTTGTTTACTTAGGTTCCAAGAAGTTGTATCACATGTTCCTGTAAAAGAATTAATTATCTGGAATAATTACAAACTAATTTAAGAGACACGAATATGGATACATTTAAATAGTGGGAAGAAAGTTTTAAAAAATGTACATCAAGAATAAGTAAGAAAAAATAATATAATTTTATTACGTACCCATGAAATGTAATTTATATGATGTAAAAAGCATTTTGTCAAAAGTCGTCAACTTTACTGAAAAAGATGGAGTGGTCATATGTTCATACTAGTGAGAAACCTCACCATATACATATGACCCGAGCAAACTGGAAAGTCAGATATGGACTTCTACTCTTACAGAGCAATAACGTTTGCTAAAAGAATCAGCTACTCCTGTTTAATACTTTTAGAAAGACCATATGACTGACTGACTAAATTTCAACATAGAACCTTGCACAAAAGGGGGGTAATCCAAGTCGCTACAATCCTAGTAGCACACAAGTAGAGAAAAGCAAATGGACTCAAAAAACTTTAACGAACGGAAATGTTCAGGAGAAAAAATAATGGTACAGAAAGACATGAAGAATTAATGGATCTGGGAGACCACAAAAAGTGATCGTATCTTATGCCATGACCTTAAGAGAAGCCAGTAGTAAGTGAATTCTATGTTTGTGACTAAGTGCTGAAAACAGTCAGTGAAAGAGCTGTTAGTTTTGCAATACTGAGTTGCGATCTGGCGGTACCCTAAACGCTGCATATAGATACTTCTGAATTGAAGTAGAAAAAACAAATAAGAATCTTTTACGTGATCAGCGAAGTGTGTTTTTTTTTGAAGCAGAGTAAAATTCCTGACAAAACTAGGTAGGAATGATGTTTGTGAACAACCCTTGCGCATACTATTGGCTACCATTAATTACACTGCTATCCACAGGGTGCTACACAGTTATATAAATTCAAATAAAAAGCATCAACTAGCACAGGATAATTTTCATAACTCCCGTCCTATAGACTTAAAGTATCGTTCAAATGACCTGTTTGCAATCAATCTTAATAGCAAATAAGTGTTAGTTACCGGTCTAAAGAACTGCCTCGAAACACATCAAAGAATGGATATTTGGCTAATAAACTGCTCCTTTTAATTAAGCCCGTATTAAACAGAAAAACGACCATCGACGCCAGAATCTTTCAGTTCAATAATCTAAAATGACCGCATGCATATATATGTGGCCGAAAAGATAATTTCTTTCGCTGAAACCTCTTTTTTGGTTTTGGATTTGTTTCACTTATGTAATTTCACTACAATGTGTATTTTACAAGTAGACAGTTTTAAGCCATAACCTGTCTTGACTATAGTATACCCCACACTATGTGGTAAGTATCGTCTGAGGGAGCTAAGACATCTGAACGCAATTCTATCCTACATTATATAGGAAGTAATACAGAGATTAGGTAAGGAGTAAAAATTAATCGATGAAATTGTGGAGCTACATGGATTGAGATAGCTGAGGCGTGTTACACATGACAGGCTATCACCTTCCACGTAGGGCACCACTAGTTGACACAAGATTCAGTTGATAAGGATAGAAGACTCTTGTGGCCTGTGTTAATCCTTGCAAAATATATCTCTGCAGAGATCTAACTTCTCTTTGAAAGCGTTCACCGATGGAGCTGTTACTACTGAATCAGGTAAGGAGTTCCAGTCCTTGACCACTCTGTGAGAGAATCTAAATTCTGCACGTCGGAAGGGGTATGGTGAAATTAAGGTGCCATGTCGATGTATGGAGTCTCTCACTACTGACTCAAGCCTCGCAGGTAAGTGTAGACTACCTGTCTCGGGGCCTCAAGACGCTACGAACCAGTGGCTGGAGATCGTTGTTGACATGGCCCAAAATCTATCTAACTGGGGCAGATGCACTCCCTTTATGAACTCCTATACACGCTGAATTCTGATTTTTCACTATCTGCTTATGCTTTTTTTGATATGATAATTTATCATAGGCTGTTTGAATTTATTTCCTCCACCTTTGTTTATTGTGTGAAGTATGACATCTTCAACCACTACATTTCTTCGTTAAAAATTAAGTCTAATTTAGTCGCATAATGTACATAAACGTATCAGTAATTTATTCTCAAAATATCTGTAAGGAAAGCTAATTTTCTTGTTTATAAAAAATTCGACTTCATCAACTGTGAACAGCCGGTAGAAACCCTAAGTCATAACTAGTGCATCAACTCCCAGTAAGATTACCAATATTTGCTCCACGTGCCGTTTCAGAAAATAAAGGAGTTTTTAATAAAATCCAAAAAACTTCAGTCATAGATTGGAGAGATGGAACCATAAATCATTCCGAAGGTTCTGTGGTCTATACATTGGTGATGACCACTATAGTTTCAATTCGTCCAGAAATTTCTGAATTTCTATTGGACAATAACTAACTCGTACCACTTTTGAATATAATGGTACTTACTTACTTACTTTTAAAAGCACATCTCAGCTTGGTTGCCCCGCTGGCGCCTTCTAATTCAATATCCAATGTCCTTTTTTACGAGCTAATATAAAGCAATTAATCTGTTAGGGTCCCTCCTTTGGTCATTCCCTGGTCCTCAGAAAAAATCTGCCTGGTTTTTCCAGACACATGACTGCCACAGCTTTGAATGACTCCAAGGGGAGTGGTCCGGGGATTGGTTTCATACGGTTTGTTAAGACCGTGCTACCACCGTGAATGTATTTATCCCTTCAGGCGAAGTCGTCAAGAAGGGAGATAATTGTAATAATAAATATGATTATTGGGGATTATGCAGACCCAAAAATAAAAACGAACGAACAAAGAGATGGTGAGATTTAATAATTAAGAAGTGAATGAATATGTATTGTACTTGGGGGAGTGAGACAAGGGAGAATGGGTAGCTCTAAGGGAAGTGTTCATATGATACATGTTAAGAAATTTTCATATGTTAGTCTTAATGTGTTAGGTCATCTATATACAGTCCTTTGTCGCCGCATAATTATTCAACATCCACTTCAAACTATCCACGGAAGGTACAGCTGTCACAAATTCTAGCAAATAGTTCGAGGGATAGAAATGTCTGAACATAAAGAGGTGGGAACACAACTGAGGCTTTTCTCCTCTAATGCACGATCCTCTTTTGGTTGCTACGAGAAAGCCCGTAATGCCTTGGCTGGCAGAAAACCATTTTTTGGGTGAATATGGTCATTTATAATCTTGTGGACAGAAATTGTTCACCATTAAACCGACACTGGTTATGTGTAAAAAGTCATGATTTTCTTACTCTCGCATCCTTTTGTTTATTCTGGGGACGCCTCACTGCTTCTGTCTTTGGACCCTTCCCAAAAAATTAGCATGTGCTTTCAGTGACAGAGGAGTAACGATATTGTGCACTTCAAGGTGCGATAGTAGGTATTTTTTCAATCTCAGAAAACTCACCTTGCTGTCCATGCGTGAACTGTATAACTGCGTGTGCCTTCACTCCACTTGTATCCAGAGTTTTCATCAGATCAGACCCTAACTCACGCTGTGATGCTGCGCAGGACATGTTGTCATTACAGGAAGTAGCCAGCTCTTTGTGACGCTGGGGTACGCCATTGCGTCACTTTACTTTTGAGGTTGAATTACACATCATTTACCTTCGCTCAGTCTTCCATAGATTTTAGGCTTGTCAGGAACCAGTTTATGCCCACTCGCTTCCTGGCGGACCCTTAACTCCAGTGAACACTACCTGGATCATTTGCATCACGTGTACGACGTGGTTCCGACAAACCTGGTGATGGCATGAGGTTATTGAATTTGAAAAAAGTTTGCAGCTTGTGTTAGGATTATAGTACTGTTATCATCTGCATTGTTTTTTCCACTGGCCAGTCATTTATTTCAATTGGGAGAGTTAAGAAGGCAACAGAAATGATGTGGTAATAAAAATAAGCAAAAAAGTGTGCAAAAGATTAAATTCTTCAGCATGGCGCCCTACTGCTTGTTGTGCAATGTTATCTGAGGTGTGACCTCTCTTTACGCCTTTTTCAAAGATGCTAGCTTCCATCTAAAAACGTCATGGAATTCAAAGTGGGGGAGCATATATGTTCAATAGGCCTATAGGAGGAAAATTAAAGTGTCGATTAATTTGCGACTCAAAATACACTCTGTAGTTACATAGGGCTATTACATGGCATATCCCCTGTTTGAAGTGGCGCCTCTGGCTTACTTTGGGGATATTTGCGTGGTATAGTTGATTCGATTCCGGCTGGTTTGCCTCGTTTAATCTAGACAGCTGCATCTGACATGATTCTGATGTTTATTTAGCTTGAACTGTGTTGATTTTGTTAAGAATATTCGTCAAAATTTGCCTCTTAGCTTGAAGGCATACTTCGTACAGGAGGACGCTAGAAAATTTGTCTCATGCAAAAATTATAAGGTACAGCTAATATCCTTGGTGTTAGCTCCCGTGTCTAAATAATTTCTGCAGAGCTTCGTTTTGTCATTTGTGTCTATATTTGTCGTTCATGAATGTTTCAGTAAGTGTTTGTGGCTACAATCAGGAACTTTGCAAAATGGTAATTTTGGTAAGGAATTTCGCTAATGTTTCCCCGTCAATGGCACTTTTAAGTTGCTAATAGTCTCCTTTTGGCGACTTATGAATATTTAATTCAAAGGCTTCTGTTTTCATTCGCAGTGATGAGCACTGAAAGCGTTGTCACCTGGATACAACGCCAGCTAACTTGCCGTCCCTATATCAGTGGGCATCAAAAACGTTTTTAATGGAATTATGTTTAGTCACAGTATACCGTCTGGGTTCAAGATGTCCCATGTCAGCCAGAAGCAGTACGTGATATATATATAAATATAGCTGAGTATTCACAGGCAACTCATACACATTATGTAATGAAGAAGTGCGTACGGAACCATGAATCTCTGGAGCTGAAGTACAAATCAGTAGTCTTTCTTTGTACATACGGGATGAAGCGAAAAACTAGAGGTTGCGGTTCTCATGCCCGACCGTAAGAATCCCGTTATTTATTTCTGCAGTGCAAAATAGGCTGCTTGCCTATCTGGCCTTCGTATACGCTACAGGGAGAACGAGTTTATCGTTTGTGCAGCGAAAACAGTTCACAATCACAGATGTGAGCAAAATCTTATGATAGGTGATCCTTATTTTAGGCGCCTGTCCTTGAATGAAAAGGAAAATATCGGGCTAAAATTATCCCGCATGCTCAAGGTCGTTGATGGAGTGAGACGCTCAAAGGTCATTTCCGTCCATGTTAGTCGGCCATGTTGGATTGCAGTTCCGTATTCGTTCGATAACACATTGGTTTTTACGTTTATCCTGCAGTTATTCACAACTTATCTTGATGCATATTGTTCGCAAATGTTGCTTTTCAACTAATTTTTGTGTCAGTTGCTGTTAATATTAGTTATTTCGTTGGTTTCGAGAGTTTTTACCAGCAGGTCGGTGCATTCATTTCATTATAATTGTTACATACCTTGCATTCATGCGTGGTTTCAGTGTTTTAGTCGTTTTTCAGCTTTTAGTGAAATAGTGCTGTGTAGAAGTTTTGAAAAATATGCACGTGAACATGTTTAGCTGACAAAAGCTGTCGTTTTTAGTTCATTTGATGGCTGCCGTTATTGCTTCTTGCTCAGTTGGTTACTTAATATGTAGAAATCTGAAAAAAGCAATGTCTTTCACATTCATTTTTGCAACATGCAGCAATCTACGAGTCAATCCGGTGAGGAGAATACGATCAGGGTTGATATTGGCAAGGTCTTCAAAGAGCATATTAAACCTGGAGATTTCAGAACGTGGTTTGAAGTTTGAAAAGCTTTGAAGCTTTTCGAGAAGCTGGGTTTACCATCAGTATATATTATCAGTTAAAGAATCAGATGCATTGTCAGAGAATGTAAATCAAACGAGGTTGAGCCACGTGAGATGTGTGAATGTTGTGCCTGTACGTAGTTTTGGAATTGAAAGCAATTAGAAACCCCTAAATGGTAAGTGTTACCTATGTTTGATAATGCCCAATGTACTAGATCCAAATGCATGAACTAGGACCACCTGTAGCAAAGCCAGTGTTAACAGCCTTTCAGTGTGTTGCAAAACGAATTAAAAAGCGGATAACACGGTGAGTGTACGAACTATCCCAGTTAAAAGTAAGACTTCAATTGGCAAGAATAACGTTTCGGGTTGTGGTCTACAATAGGTGGTTACAACAAGCTGATTATTATTCGGGGTGAAAATATTGGCTGAATACAGATTGCTTGCTTCATTTCAAATAATGAAATTCCTATTTTTTGGATGTTTGTGATTTCTCCATGGCTTTAAATACGGATGACCATGATCTTTAAGAAAACTAAATAAATTTTCCCAAAACCATCGGTTTTCTTTTTCTTGGCGAAACATCTGTTAATACGATTAGAAGATTAGGTAGCAAAGCAGGATGTTCTGTGATTGAGAATCGTAGTCGTCGTGTTTCGGATTAATATCGCGCTTCTAACTGTTATAACCCTATGCATATAGGTTTTCCCTCATGGTACCTAATGATATCTAGAAGTCATAAGCACGCTGTCTTCGGTAAATTTATTCTTACTTTTTAAGTGACTGCATATAGTGAGTCATTTGAGGTGATAGGATGAATACCTCTAAACACTTTCGTGGAGATTAGGATATATTCATTTTTTTCGACTAGGAGACGATCTTTTTACCAAGAAGGTTCTCAGGATTTCCGCCTTTAATTTTGAAATTCAAAGGTAAGGTTAAGTTGCTCATTAAGGTAGTAGCTATGGGAGCAAAAACCAATTTAAGGTAACTACGTAGCTTTAGGTAATACGTCATAGAAGTAGGTAGCGTAGGTTAATTGTGTCTAAATATATTGAACGTTGTATAACTGGTCAAATCGTAGCTCTAGTTAGTCTTATAAGTAATGAATGTACCGTACAAACGTTTATTTTGATTTGCATACCTAGCTCATAAGCATTATACCTGCATGTGGTATACATTTAAGGCTGGTACGCTGTGATGAGTTCTGCGAAACACGGTGCTATCATGATTAAAGCAAGAAGAACAGGTCAAGTATAGGTAAGATGCACGAACTGGCAAACTGTAGGACGAGGGGATAAGTTATGCTTGAGTGCCTTAACTTCTTAATGTGAACAGTCAGACGAAATATTATTTTAGAAATCGCTAAGACATGGGAAGACCAGGATTGGTCAGAAGAAAGAATTAATCCAAGATACTTAACGTCAGACTTTTATTTCTATATCACTATCATCAATTATACAACGGTAATGGGGATTAACAGCTTCATTTAACTTTCTTTTACATCTACAACTGAAATTAACTGCCTGACATTTGGAAGGAATTAGTTTAAGGCCATTAGACGAAGATCATTTGCTAATTCCTGATAGAAAGCTGTTCATTTTAGTACTGTCTAGTTGGGAGTTGACAGACACTGAAATAGTTAGATCATCGGCATACTTAACAAAGTAGATATTCAAACACTGCAGTTATTGATCAT